TATGAAATGTTATAGAGGGTTTAAAAACATCATACATGGGTGGTATCTAAATTGTTCAAGTTTAAAGTAAAATATATATGTTCCCTTATCATTTCTAATATTGCCCGCAAATAAAAAGAACCTGACCCAGCTGAAACATTTTATGAATACTTTAAACTTTTTGCCAGAACGAGATTGAAGTTGAAAGTATTATGTCATCGCTTTGATTTTCGCTGTCATTCGCCTTAATGTGGATAATGGAAATAAAGAACCTATTAAGCTTGGCGGGAAACAATTTAATTTTAAATGGCACACCACATACAACAATTAGCTCATTCCATACCCGAAAGCCAAACGAAATGCAATTAAATATTTAAGCCATTCGCACGGCAATTGAGTTTATTTTGCGCCGTCAACGGGGCGTATACGTAATGTGCATATATTTGTTATTTGCTTTGGCCGCATTATTCAATATGTTCCGATCGGACGAAGGAAAACGGTGCAAAGAGCCTGAAATACAAACGTCCGACCATCAATTGAAAGGCGGGACAGTGTTCTCAATCAATTGCCCAGGGAAGGCAACTGGCATTGGCACTTGGCACTTGTAGCATTTAAGATAACCGACTGTGAACTCCAGGATAAGTGTGTGTTTGTTTGTTTGTCCCTCAAGTGGGTGTGCTGCGGCTGTGTGTGTATGTGTGTTTACGAGTCGAAAGTCAAATCAGGCCATTTATCAAGTCCTCGGAGCCTTTGGCCGGCTTCGAGCAATATTGCCAAGCAGGTCAGCCAGCAGCAACTGTTTGTGCTCATTTTTCAAGCCGCAAAACTTTTCCTCGGCTTTCCACCGAGCAATGTAATATGCGTGAGTGTGTCTGTACAATTATATTGAATTTCAGCCACTTGTTTTTGCCAATTTTCCGAATGCGAATTTCAATTGAGCGTTGCCCCGAAAAGTTTCTTATTTTTCCAACGTAAAAATAACAAGTACACAGGAGATATAATGGCAAAAGGAAAAAAAGTTTTCGCTTCCAGGAAAAGTCAGCTAAATGAGCTTCGCTGTAATGTAAAGAAATGGGGTATGGGTAGGAAAATAACGAGATGAATTAGAGGAAAAAGTATTGGGTGGAAATCGTTGAAAGGTTACCTTGCTGCAGAATGCATTTTCCCTTTCAAATAATATCCTTTAGAGTCGCTCAAATTAGCTAATTGATTGCTAATGCATATTTTTCCCCATCTTCTGCCCAATCATCCCTTCAGATTCTTCGGGGGTACCTTGAACTCTGACCCAAAGTTCATAACTCCGATGTCTTTAAGGCATTCCCCCAGGCCAAATGAGTCTTTGGCCTTTAATAAGGCCACACCCACGCCGCTGAGTGGCCATAATTTGATATCGCAAATTGATATTCCTGTATATATATTTACGTCTTTATCTTTGGCTGTTTCGGCTCCTTCATTTTCTGCTTCTTGCCGGAATTATTAATGCCACTTTGCTCACTTTGCATAATGAAAAGTTCAGCATTGTTATTGTTGTTGCTGTTATCGTCAGCGAGTGCTCTCAAATTAGGGCTTGAAATGTCGCATGTCTTGCCAAAATTTTAATACGTATACATTCTAAGAACATGTAGAGAAAAAAAGCGACAGGGGGCAGCCTTAAAAAATCTGAGAGAATAAAAGGAAGAGCGGCCATATTTTGTTGACTTGGCCATGGCCTAAACCAACCAGCGTCTCCCCTACAGTTCCTCCCCCGCTGACAGCAATTACAGGCCTTGTTTTTGGGACTCTTTGTTGCTGTTTTCATGTCATACAACAATGCTGTGCAATAAATCAAAAGTTTGCCAACATGAAATGATTATTTATGATTATGCCTAAATACTGCCTATCGTCGTTAGGGCCGCCTTCGAACACACACACTGTTAGCCACGTTTAAACCGAGTGATTTGTGGCTAATTTATTTATAGCGCGCTTATTTGGAGCCCAGGCAACACTTTGCCAGCAAACAAAGTCAACCTATGACAGTGAACAATAAACGCCGCCGGCAAAGGGAAACAAACTATAACTAAACAATATTGTGATGTGGCTCTGCTCGGCTGTGTGAAATGGAGCACAAGGCCGGCGAGTCAAACAATGGCTGACAATGGAGGCCGGGAGGCCGTCAACAAAAGTTGCCAGCTCACTCGGCACTCGGTGCTTGGTGCTCGGTTCTCAATTCTTAGTTTTCAGATGTGTGGCTCTACCAACACAATGCATGCTACACACTACATAGCCGGGACCTGCATCCTTGCCGCTGGCTATATGCTAGTGTCCATAAAAGGATTCCCTGGTTCCAACAGAGGTTTTCATTTCATTTTCAAAGTTGCACAAAGCTGGGACTGCATAGAAAAGAAAAGTTTACGTCTTGATCAGTTTTTGTAGTTTATTATTTATTTAATCAATTGAAAAGGTCTTCAAAAAATTGCCCATTAGATTTGTAGAAAACTTTAGGGTGCCCTTTAAATTTATTTTAAATTGTTTGGGCATCTCTTGCACGTGACTTTAATACTCTCGCCTTGTAAATTAAAAGCATTTTGTGATAAAAGCACAAGATCTCTCTTTCACACAAAAACACTGCATTTAGAAATATGTGTTCCGAGAGTGTGATATTCTGGGTTCAATGTCTAAGGTGGCCTCTAGGTTTCCCACCTGGCTGTTGGCATTCAATCCTTGCTCCCCACACATTCTACCACAAATAGAAACTAAGGACAACTCTCTAGACTCATGTTGGTCACATGTCAAACGCTTCGATTTTTCCCCTTTTTTTTCCAAGGAAAACTCTCTGTCATCAGTGGGAGGCAACGCCAGAGAAGGTGGCAGGTGGCCGTATGACATCCTGCCAGATTGACATTGCTTGTTCCCTGAATAGAATCGATGTGTGTTGGTGTGAGGCAATTGCATTGTAGTCATTGCACCTGCTCGGAATTCCCCGCCACTCGATGTCGTAGGATGCTCGATGTGGAAATGTCGAAATGCGAGATTCCCAATCAATGTTATCGCCGAACGGCGACACGGACTAAGCTTCCGGCAATAGGATCAAGAAAATTTATTGGGTATCTTTCCTATGTGTGTCGCTTCAAATGCTTGTTATGTCTGGGAAAACATTTTTCAGCGCGGAAAGCTGACATATGCACACATCGTCCTGTGCGCCCTCCTAACTCGAGTGCAGCTCATGTGTCATTTATGCAAATTAACATGCTTGTCAGCGGCGAGCCGGAAAATGCATTTTGTTAGTTAAGATACTCTTTAGACAGCGACACTAATTAATTTGGAACCAAAGAGCTGGATAATAGTTGGCTTTATTAGTATAATTAAGGCTTTTTTGAGCATAAAAATATCGAGGAGTTTTGTTCGAAACTTTAATGAACTTTTTAAATATAATTTAAAGCAATTTTAAATCTTTGAAATTACTGAAAAATATAAGGAAAATCTTTAAAGTTATTTTCAATCAAAATACAAAGAAAACCTTTATTTTCAGGGTATTTAGCTCTCCGCGATGTTCCCTTTGTCATTGCTCTATCAAGAGCTTGTCGCTTGCCAGCTGGAAAATGCATGCATTTGACGCGTTTGCTTAGCTGATTGCGGTCCTTGTGCCCTGTGTGCCCTGTGGCATGGAGCCTGATGGCTGATGCCTGAGCGGGATACAACACGCGTGGCCATATCTCTTGGCCACACGCATGCCGGCCATGAGCGGGGGGACAGGCGACATGGAACAACAAAAAGCGAATTATATTTTCATATTAAACGACGTATGAGTAATCCTCACTCGCGGACGGTGGGGGCGTAACGACATGCAGGACATGGAAATGCCATCGCCAGGGTTCCAGCACCACCCACTCCCAGCGACTTATTCGCTGGTAACCCTCATTTATTTATAGAGCTCTCGAGAACCAGGCGCTAATGTCGGTCGTCCCATCACTGGCAGGATGACATGAAGCGGAAAAGGCCAAATCGAAATGAAATCGAAATGTTTTTGGGAAACGGAAGGTGTTTAAATATTCATATTTATAAATAGGTGCAGGAAATTACAGCAGTCTGCAGTTGAATTTGATGGAATTTCATAAGGCTCAGTCTATGGCAATTAATATTAAGTAGTTATCCAGTTGTGTGTAATTTATTCAGGGTTAGATTGTCAATAGAGAAATATAAAATAAAGTGTACAGGAGATTTTATAATAAATAGCAACAGTTTAATTATGAAGATAACTCGCAAATGTAATACAAATTAAACGATTTCCATTAAAAGACTAATGAATATTTAATAATGAAAGCAATTTGCAATTCCACAAACACTTAAGTTAGAAATTATTAATTTTCAACCAAATAAAATAATTATAAATTCTTAAGGCAGTAAATTAAATATTAAATCTAGATCACATTCAACTTTAACATGGAAAAACATGCATTTAAATTCATTTGCATTCCCTAGTTAAGCTCAAGTGTCAGATACTGTATTTGAGTGTTGGGTTTGAAGGGATGTGAAAGGATATGCTTATGGGTGAATGACTGGAATTTTGTAAGAAACGGAGACTTCACAAAAGAGAGTGTTCTCAGAGGTATTTAATACTAATTGGGCACTTATGTTTTCATGTATTTATGTTATGTTAGTTATTAAATGCACAAGGAGACGGACTTACGTAGAACGGCACAAGCACCTGCAGTCTGCTACCTGCGGCTAATTAGCCTCGCGGCTAGGAATTGGACAGTCGATGATTGAGGACTCGGGACTCAGGACTCAGGACTCAGGACTTGGTTTGGCATGCATTCTTGGTCACGGACACCGATGCAGGCACAAACACAGGCACGAATACAAGCGACATAATGGCGGATGCGAATACATATATATATATATATATAGGGGCGTGAGTGTGTGTGTGAGCGTGTGGCGGCAGCAGCGAACTCAAACACACAAACACAAATGGCGGTTCGCGTAGACAAACATGACGTAAACCCAAAAAAGTATGCTACAAATTTCGGTCGCCTTTCGCTTACGATTTGGACTCTTGCGACGGCTGTTGTTCATTTGAGCATTGCGCCTTGCCTTTGATTATTTCTCATTATTCAACCGCTGACCTGTGTAGTTTGGTTCAGTTCGTTTTGTATTTTTTATTTATTGGGTTGTTTGTTGTATTCTGCAATAAAAAACATCAAAGAGCACACATTTTAATTGGCGACAAACTGTTGGGGGTGGCAGCACTCAGACTCGGCGACGGCGACATCAAGGCCATTAGGCACACACACACACAAAGGGCCAACGCAACTACTCTACTAACAACTCTGGCAACAAAATGTGTGTCACCCAAAAGCGTAAGAGAACGTAAGCTCGCTATGATTTAAGTTAAAGTCACTTCAAATAATGATCGAAATGCTGGGGAAACTCCGTCGCTGGATTACACAACACTGGCTCTTCCGCCTGCTGCCGTTGCCTGTCTGCCTGCCTGCCTGCCGACTTGGCTAAAAGCAAGCGCAAATAACACTAACACTTTCTAGCATTGGCTGTAAGGCTGAGGCCTTTTTGTTGTTGGTACCACTTGAAACGCAAGGCGCGGGCCCAGTGTCCTTTTCGATCCGAACTCGCGACTGTAACGCTCGAAAGCCGAGGACGGACTGACTGAACTCCGCTCGAGGAGGACTCGTGTAGTTCGGCTCTTTGAGTGAGTCTTTCTTGGACTTCGTGCGTTCGAGTGGGGACACTCGGCATTGCCATGGCTATGGCTATGGTTTTATGACTGGATTGTTTCTCTGGCTTCCTGTCGTTTGCCGCTTGCATTTTTCCGCGCTTTTTTTCCCCATGCAAATCCAGTCTGGCTCTTTAGTTTCGGTTTTTTTTTGCGGCCCAACGAGATATACATTTCCGCTTTCCGTTTGGCATTAGCGTGCGGAAAGGATCTAAGGTGAGTCGGATGCCGCAAAATCGCATCAGACCTTACACCGGTTATATATATGTACGTATACATATTTTATTTACGTTTCGTATTATTAAATTTCACAAAATTGGCCTAAAATCATGAAATTTGCATGCCAATTTCACGCCTTTCTGGGGGTACGTTTTGCGGCTAAAACTGGCGGGGAGGATTAGCCCCTTGGGCATTGGCGGCAAATGAGCGGCTTGTTTATGAGTGGGACGCAGTTAAGCGAGGAGCATCGAATGGCCAAAAGGTGTTGCTCCCTGTGAGTGCGAGTGCGAGTGAGTGTGAATGTGAGTGTGCGTGAGCGTATGTTGTGTCTGCACTCACACACACATACACACTGACAGCGGGAACAGATGGCTTTGGCAACCTGTTGGCTTTTGCGTATAAATTTAACTTGCCTTCGCTTACATACATACCCACGCCCTGTTCTTGTTGCTACCTCGCCGTCCGTTCAGCAATCCTTCCTGCTCGCAGGGCACCAACGGGTCGTATGCGCAATTATTTCCATAATGGCTTCACTTAAATCTTAACCCCAGTAGGCAATGGCAATTTTTGCCCTGGCCAGGACGAGAGTTCGTTTTAAAGTGTGAGCCATAAAATTCCTCTGAATCTTAACCCTTTTGGGGCCAGGCATCTTTTATTTTCTTACTCGATATTTAATATATAAGAAATTAAATTAATATTATTAAATACCCTTATTATATGTTCTCAACGTTGCTATTTAAATTTAATTTCCAGTTTCTAAAATCCCCACTGCTTTGAATTTGTGGAACATTTTCTGAGCTCTACTCGTTGTCATAGACTCGTATCAACGCGAACAACTCGTATTGAACAAACAAACCCGAACTGAAATTCCGACACTCCGACACGGTGGCCCTTTTCAGGCATATACTTTTTGGTTAAATTTAAAGACGATGTCTATGCCCCCGAGACATGCTTATGGATCGACGGTGCGCAAAACTATTGTGGAGCGGGCCAACCGGCCGAATGGCTCAGCCAAGCTGGACTTCACCACAGCCCAAGAGGCGGCCAAGCTTGAGGCAGAAATGCAGGCGATGGCCACTGATGTAAAGGCGCAACTGTTCCAGGAGCGCTCCTCCAGCGGTGGGATGAGTGGCTTCTCCAAGTTGCGCGACCGCGGCGGATTGCGGGGCAAGGACTACTGGAACGCGGCCATCAAGGAGGTGGAGTGGGCTGCCGCCTGTCGCTTCGAACCGCACATTCCGAACATCGACTATTCCCTGGTGCTGCCGCGACGACTGCGGGAGCGGGTGAAGCGTATACAGAAATATGACTACTCCAAGTCAGACGAGGACATATACATTCGGGACGAGATGCAGCTAGAGCGGCCCGAGGACTACATGAGTGCCAGCAGCTCGGAAAAGAGCGAGGAGGAGGAGGAAGCCCCGGTAATAACAATGTGGAGAGCCATGGAATAATGTTTTCTAATCATGGCGTCCAATCCCTTAGCTTCTCGAAATAGGACGGAAGAAGGTGGAGGAGCACTTCAATGAGACCGACCACTCTGACATCGTGCGCATGGAGCATGAGTTTGAGAAGTTCGACCTGAAGCTGGGCGAGCCGGTGGGCCACACCCACCGCACGGTGGACAGCACCAGCTGGTATGCCAAGTTCCTCTGTGCGCCACGAGACAAGCGGGTCAGCTGGCAGTCCCGGGTCGAGCATCCCGGACAGAACTACTCCCTGGTCACGCTGGACGAGCAGGCCGAAAACCTCATGGATGCAGTCAGTACAAGGAATAATCGAATCATATCCTTCTTTTAATACTGTTAATCCCTTTTCATAGTCGGCAGAACGTTTCGTCGAGTGGCTGAACTCATTTGGCACCTTGGAGAGCAATCTTACACCGGATAAGGTCAAGAATCTCTTTTCCATCAAGGGAGATCGCACCCTGCTGGCCTCTGTGAAAACGGATCCCAAGGAGGTCAACGCCATAGCCCAGACTGTTGCGGACAAGTGGAACAAGCCGCATGTGAGTAATCTTGAAATATTATAACTAAATAATAATAATACACAACTCTCTTCATTAAGATGGCCATTGAGCTGAAGTACGAGAAGCATATCAATGACCATGCCAGCCGCGTGAACCAGAAACCCATACTAAGTGCCTTTGGACGCACCGTTCCAGTAAAGGATCGACCCTGGCTAAAGCGATCCAATGACACTGCCATTAAGACTGTCTATCCGGAGGAGCTGCTGACCCGCGAGAAGATCTTCAAGGGCATTACACATCTGCGCAGCACAACGGCCCTCATTGATTTCTATCTGGCTAATCCCTCCCTGGAACGGCCTCAGTATCTGCTGCAGAGCGGTGACTTTGAGGAGTCCAGCACCAGTGAATCCGTGCTTGAAGTGCCACTCTATGAGCTTTTGGGATTGCGCTATTAAATTTCTGTTCCTTGTGGTGTTTAATCTTCAAAATAAAGTGTGTATGTAGCCATCTACAGGACTTTCTTGTTTATTTTTTATGAAAATTCACGAAGCTTGATTGCTGCAACTCCAATCCAGAGATTTTTAATAAAAGGTAAAAGGAAGACTACAACGAATATGATGTATGTATCCTAAGGATGTGCATCTAAAGGAAAATTCAATGTTGATGTCTCGAAATAGCTTTGGCTTCATCTGGGAGAATGATTTTTCCTTTCCCACCTAACTTTTCAACGGGAAATCCTTACAGTCGTATGCAGGTTAAGATATAGTAAGGTAGTAGGCACTTGCAAAAAATACTTTAGTAAACTGACATCTACATATATTAAATGAAAACAAACACAATTGCAGTCATATTATACTGAAAGCTTGAATTTACACAAAATGAACAAACCATCAACAGTAGGAACGAAGAAAGCCTTTACGGCGACAACCAAGGCCAAGAAAAAGCGCAGCACTAAAATTGTTAAAGGTGGCAAGGTTAAAACTAAAAAAAGCAATGCGTCCACTTCCATTTCGAAGGATTCCACAATTCCAGCGGAAACACCGATAGCTACAAGCGATTCCTGGAGCCTTACTCAATCTATTAGACAATTTGTTCGCATTGCAGTGGAGGATTCACTGATGGAAACCAACATCAAAAGGGAGTTAGCCCATAAAGCTTTGGCAAAAGAAAAGATTGGACATAATGAAGAATACGTAAAGCTAAAAGATGTAAACGATATTGTCAATAAGCTCATCTCGCAGCACACCGAGGCTGTAATCGAAAGACACTCAGAGCAGGTCCAGAAGGCAGCTGACAAGGTACTTTCCATTGAGGAGTCTCTAAATAAACTCACAGATCGCATAAAATCAGTGGAGGATTCGGTCACCGAAATGCGTAGAGGATTTTTACCCACCTCTGAGGGTTCTCATTCTCAACGAGTGGGAAGGGTAATTGGTATGACCAAGCCATCTATCAGATTCCAACTTCCCAACAAGGAACTTTCCAAGCAGGACCCTCCCTTCGTTTCAAGCTCAATGCCGCGGCTCGGCGCTGCTTCAAATACCAGAATGCCTTCGGGAAGCCTTCAACAAAAGTTCTTTCCCAGCAAAAGCAGTGACGACTCAGACGACGATTCAATTGATCTCCAATCAAATCCATCCTTCACGCGAGTAAACAATGACAAAAGCCGCTCATATGACGAGATAATCAGAAAATTGAGTCCCAAGACCATAGGAAAACAATCGGATCTGGCAAGCAATTGGAGTCCATCGCAATTAGATGTAAATCCTAGCATGTCCAGTCTCGAGGAGGACTGGCAAAGACGGATGGCCGAACGGCGTCAGATCGATACCAATATGCTCCGATACAAGAAATCTCCATTAACGCTTCAGCTGGATAGCCACAAGAGTTACTTTCCAAATGAAGGGCCAAAAACAGAACCAGGACCTCTGACCCGAGGTCCTCCTTTACGTCCTGTCCATCCAAGACTCAGCAGACCAGGAATACCTAATAGCACTGATGAAGCACAATCGGATTGGTTATTTGAACAGTAGTTCCATGATTTCTAAGTGTCTCAGCGCTTAGTGGCGTTTTTGTCCTCTTTTTGAGTTTAAAATATTTGGTCCTCAAATATGTATATGAAATGCTAAATAAATAAGTCGGTAGACAGCAAATCTTCAATGTATCGTTCTCAAAGGGTCACTTTGAAAGGGTCACCTCCATGATAAGAAGCTCCAAGAGATCTCCAAGATCTCTTTGTAATAAAAACCAACTTTATTTGTTTAAAACAATATAGTCTGCGACTTACAAGGTCAGCGTGGTCTGAATCCAAGGCAGATAGGTACCCACATTCACATAGACCCCGGGAACTCCCGCCTGGGCACAGCCAATGCCCCAGGCCACCAGACCCACCACGTACCATACCCCATTGCTGGTGCAGACCAGCGGGGAGCCACCGTCTCCCGTGCAGGCATCCTTGCCAGCCTCACCGCCCGCGCATATAAAGCTGGTGGGGCTGAGGACGAAGGAGGCGCCCAGGCGCGTGGCCTGCAGGGCGGCCTGGCAATTGGCGTTGGGAATCAGCGGAACGTCAACCTGGCGCATAATGGCCTGGTAGGCGCCAGTGGGTCCAAAGTCGTTCTTGCCCCAGCCGGCCACCCAGCAGCGCTGACCCACGAAACTAGTTGTTGGCAGGCAGACGGTGCCCACCGTGGACTTGCTGGTAAGTGAGACAGGTGTGGACAGCTTCAGAATGGCCACGTCGTTCTGTAGGTTGTTGGGATTGAACGAGGGATTCACGTACACATTCGATACGTACACATCCTGGGCGGGAATCGGCTCATTGGTGCTACTGGCATCCCATTCCCCCACACGAACCTTAAAGGAAGTGAGACTGACTCCAAGTGGGTTGGAAACAAGGCAATGGCTAAAATTTCAAGAACACTCACGCCAGGTTGTACACCTTGTGGGCGGCGGTCAGGACGTGCTGGGCGGTGATCAGAGCTCCTCCGCCCAGATAGACATCCGCCGTGGTGAGAAGCGCCGCCTGCCAAGGATAGGCTCCGAAGCTGGCCTGTCCTGCTCCAGCAGAGGCTGAGCCTGGTGGCGGCGGGAATCTGCGGCCGCACTGATAGCTTCCCGCCTGGCAGCAGGCCACGAGGCCGTAGCTGCAGGTCAATGGGGCTGTAGTGCTTGGAAGTGAGGGCTGCAAGGGTTCCAAGGATATCATAAAGTGCATCCTTAAAGTTAAAAATCTTTAGAGTCTGCTTACATACGCTCCCGTATTGACGATCCTAATGTCGATTTGACCACTTCCATCGCTGGGAACTGTAGGTATGGGATTGGCACAGGATCCAGGAGGGACACACTGACAGTAACTGGATGTGCCCGGGTTAACAATAGAAGGCACCGGGGGCCACGTTCCCGGTGGCACTTGGGGCGGTACCAAGGTGCCCACGATCAGCTGCCTGGTGAGTACTGAAACCAGGAAACTGTATTCTAACATATCAAGTCAAGTGGAGCCACTTACTCGTGTGGTTCGCGGTGCTGCCCACGTCGCTGGGCACCTGCGGCACCTGCTGTCCTGTCTGACCGGCATCCGACTGGACAGGACCAAAGCTCCAGGTTTGAGCACCGATGCAGAGGCACTGCAGCAGCACTGGCAGCCACCACATCCAACCGAACCGATAGTGAGTCATGGCCAGCGAGAACTAAATCGAGGCGGCGTTGCTCCGGTGGGCTATATAGCGGAGGCCTGTCCATAATTCCCCAACAAATAAATTGCCTGACGAATGGCCTCCTCAGCTCAGGGATTTTCCCCGCTGCATGGAGCAGCAAAAAAGGCAATCATAAAAAGTGAATTAGTGGGAACATGCACGGAAATTCCAACGAGGTTGGGTTACCCTTCTCAAAATAGTCATGACTATTTGAAAAAAAAATTCGGAAATCGTTAAAAAGATGGTTTAAATCTGTGATATCACGAATTATAAAATACTTCCGTTTCAGAAAACTAAACTTCTTTACATTTTTGTACAACTTTTAGATAACGATGTCAACATTCTGTTTTAAAAATCTAACCAATTACAAAATGTTTATTACATTATTATTCACATCTCTATTTTATTATAGTAAATCTTGTAATAATGTTAATATAATAATATATTTGCTATATTATTGTAATACAAATTATAGACAACGATAAAACCCAAGTACCCATCTTCAGAAACTCAGACTGTAAAGTGTATTTGTGTGAAGCATTAAATAAATTTTAGTTTCGGATGCGTTGTGTTGACAACTTTGTGGTTCGATAATTCCATTTTACTGAATGTTCCCATTGTTAACAAACAATTTTCACTGCTGCTCCACATTTTTAAACCCATTAAAGTTGATTCTAATAACTTAATGGTTTAATTGCAAACAATTTGGAGTCGATTCAAGTTTGACACTTTCCGCATGAGAACATATTGCCTATTATTCAGAACACCCTCTCCCTAATGAAAATGGCTAGGTATTTGCCACTAAAGTTTGCCCAATGACTCACGCGCCCCGCAACATTCCGTTCGATCTAAAATACTAAACCCCCGACTAGAGCTGTTAATGTTGGCAGACCGAATGTTAAGTCCCTCCCAGATAGCAGGAGCTTTCGAGCTTTCGATATCAGGTGTTGGGTTTACTTTTCCGTCGCCTAATCAGTCCGCGCCTCGAAGTAGAACGAAATGGGTCATCTGGAGTTGGATTTTAGGGCTATTCCCAGGCTGCATGGCAGTCAAAATTACTGGCAGTGGCGCATCCTTCTGAAGGCTTACCTAGAGGCCAACGACCTGTGGAAGCACAATGAGCCCAAGGAGGTAACACTACAAGATTTGATTTAAGATATATATAAGTTTCTTAACTACCAAAACAAGTTTTTAAGATCTCTTTTAATAAAATTTAACTTACATAAATTTAAATAGCAAGTGTCGTACACTGTTATGTATTTTTTTTTTTTTTTTTTGTTTCACTTATCATTCTACTCTTGTATTTGTATTGTATTTGCAGAGCCCCCAAACAAAATTCCTGATTTTGGCCAGTATCGAGGGCGATAAGATTGAGCCGGCATACGATGACCAAACTTGTTCGTACATATTCCAAAATTTAGAGAGCCGCTTCGGACCTTATCCAGGTTAAAAAATACGTTGTAAATAGGCCGAAAAATATATTCCACTTTTAAGCATTGATCAGGGCTCTTTGTTTATTTTCACATGTAAATTTTCATAATCGTCTTTTTTTCTAATAAATAATTTGGGTAGAATTTGGGTAAAGCCTCCGTAATCTGAGTTTATGCAAAAGTACATATTAATCGCCCTTCCATAGCAGGTAAAATTGTTAATATATACTCATAATTAACTCATCCTTCAACCATTTCTCTATGTAAACAGTCGAATTGATCAGTTCGAGCTATGTAGAATACATTAGTAAGAGATTTCCTTCGACATTAGCAGCTGTTCGGCAAAAGAAAAGGAAAATTGCTCTTACTGCGTATGGTAGTTACTTACGGATATACTTGGTGCTTCCTGAGGGAAGTATTCATTGATGTTAAGCCTTGTTATTATAAATAGTTTTAGTTTCTGTAAGGGAAAGACCTCCAAGGCTAAAAGCTCTATCAGAAGCCTAAGCCTTGGGTAGATATATATATCAGATCCTTCATAACCACCACGAAATAATAAATACACTGCGTCAATTTGTGATATCTCCAACAATGAGATTAATATTTTATTCAAAGTGATTTTGGTTTTGTTGTCAACTAACACGTGCGGGTCCATCTGAATGGGTTAATCTGCCATCAATTCCTTTGCAATGCATTGATCTCTGCTTACGAACTAGACTAAAATTTAAGGCACTATTTAAAGCACTACATACAGGTAATTTCGTCCTTTGGCTGGGATGCAGTGCATCCCAGACAACACAAATCTTAAAACACACTATATATACATAGCTAAAAGGGAGGCTTGCTCCTTTGTTCCGATAAGTGTGGTATCTCCGATACTGGCGATACTCCATATTCGACATGATAATGATTTTTGACTAGCACTTTATCTCTCCCTCCGGCGCATTCGGATCGTAGAAAAAGAAACTGGGCGACCACGGCCTCTCAGCCCCGGCCGCCATCTCTGGATGGGCGGGTGTTACTTCCCGGCATTCGCAGCCGTCGTTAGGTTTCCCGGAACCCTGCCCGGGAAACTCTTGGCCCACTGCCTGGGCACGCAGCACAATCTGGTGGGGATTGGTAACGTCCACGTTGGTCACCACGCCGGCCTGGTGCCGGAAACTATAGAATCTGTTGGTCAAATGGCCATCCACGTAAATCTGTATAATAAGAGGATACTTAGAAGAATATTCTACTCGTGGGACTCCATAAAACGAACCTCGTAACCCGCTATAGCACGGCAGTCTGCCACTTCCCACTGGACGAATAGAGACGTACATCCCAGGCTGGTAACATTGGAAATCCTCACTGGGAAGCTCTGGCACGGGTTCCTGCTGGCATCATTGGCCCTTATATCCTGGAGAAGAGAAAAGATAATTTAGGAGAACATAGGGATGTTTTCAGTGGATCGCCTACCTTGGGCTTGGCTTGTTTGGTGCCCAGCACACAGTCCATGGCATGCAGATCGATGATCATCGAGTCTATGAAGTATTTCTGGGAGACAACAGAAAAAAGAAGCCATTAGGCGATTGGCAGCCAGATCCTCCAGGCCTGTGTTACTTACCATTTCGCATAGTGGATCGCACATGGCCGAGCGCAGGGTGTTGGACACCGTCTTGCACTCCTCGTCGCAGATGAGGGCGCGACAGTGGCAGCAGAGACATCCCTGCTGGCACTTCTCTGGGCACTTCTCTGGGCACTTCTCCGGGCACTTCTCCGGGCACTCCTCCTCGGGAATCTCTTCTTCGGGGCACTCTATGCACTCTTCGCAATCCTGACAGACTGTGTCTATCAGACTGTCCATCGGACACAAGCCGCAGTCCTTGAGCGCCTTACGAATGAGCTTCTCGCAGAGTGTTCTCACGTCGGGCGGCAGGGGTCCTGGGGGCAGGAGTCCCCTGGGCTCACCAGCGCTAGATTCCTCAGTGGGTTCCTTCTCCACGCACGGATCAATTGGAAGATTATACGGATAGGGTGGCTTATCCTGGTTTGGATCAGTCCAAGGAGAAACGTCCTCCATGCCCACAAAGGGGGACACGGACGGCTCTTTGCACTCTTCCTCTATCTCGCAAGGCACCGCTTTAACGGAGGGCACCGTGATCGTGGAACCTTCGCACAGCTCCTTGAGAATATCCTCGGGACTCTTGCAATCCAGCACACTGCCCTTCGCCGAGGCCTCAATATCCTGCAGCTCCTTCTCGACGAAGGACTTTAGCTCATCGCACAGTTGGTCCGACTCACAGTCGCAGCTCTCCCCTTCTCCTTCTTTGGCATCAGGATTCTCTTCATCATCGTTCCCGCAGTCTTGAAAGACTTCCTGGTCCTTGCAGCAGGTGCAGGACGGCTGGTTAATGTCTATGTCATCTCCCGAACAGCCGTCTCCAATGTCGTAAAACTGGACTGAGGAGCGATTCTTCATGGCGGACGAACACTCCCGAACAGTATCAGGCGAGAAATCAGGATTCAGCTCGAAGCCGTATATATCGGTCTCTGGCACCGTCGGCTCGGCGGGTGGCATGAAGGTCTTGCGCAGGTACTCCTCTAGCTGGTGGAAGCACTCAACGCGCTGCAGTTCCTTCTTGGACGGGGGATGCTTACATTCCTCCGTTCCACCGCGCCCATGCTGAGCGGTGCAGCACTCTTCGAATGGCAGAGGCTCCGAACATGGATCCTCGTCCGTGGGAGCTACTGCCGACTCGCTTTCGGAGCGCAGGAGGAGCGTTAATTCCCGGAATAGCTGTTTGATCTTACAAGGCCGATCTTGGCCGCAATCGCAGCCACTCGGTACGCTCAGCTCCTCCACCAATCGTAGTACACGCTGCTTGCGCGTGGCACAGGCATTGCAGGTAGATCCGCAGGAATCCTGGGGCGTTTTCATGCCACTCATTTGCGTTTGACAGCTGAAAATATTAGTGTTCTCGGTTAAAGCTTTCTGGGCCTGGGTGTCTGCGGGAGCATAGGGCGACTGGTCGTCTGAATCGCTGGGCTTGCACATGCAACTACCGCCGGAGAGGCTTCGGTGCGAGTGGATGCTGGTCAGGATGTGATCAGATCTCTGCGGCAGGCAAGTGCAACTCTGTGTGGACGGCGAATAACAGTCGCAGAATTCTTCCTCGTTCTGGGTCATGCTAACCCTCCTCTTTGGTATCCGCGAGGCGTGGCTGGGTTCGTTCTGCAACCTGGTGTCACACTCCGAGAGGTCGGCTTCAATATACTGCGAGAAGCTGGAAGGGTGCTGAATCCTGGCCGAAGTACCAGGCTCAAAGGTGCCATGCGACGCGCACTTGGGTTCGTGGATATCTGTCGCACAAGTACACTTCGAGGTTGCATCCTTATCACTGGCCTCACAGACGCCCTGCGACGTGCTCTCCGCATCCTGGAAATCTGTCGCGCAAGTACACTTAAAGGTTGCTTCGTTATCACCCTGACCGGGCTCCAAGGTGCCCTTCGGATCCTGCAAATTTGTCGCACAAGTACATTTAGAGGTTGTGGGTCTATTACTCTGGTTGGACACAGAACAAGGTTTAGTTCCAGGCGACTTTGTCGGTAGTTCTTCGCTTGAAGGACAAAGGCAGGTGATCTTGCCCACAATCGACCGGGATCGAGTGGTGGCAGACGTTTCGTAGTCGACTCCAAAGGAGGGCTGATTGTACGGATGTCGCGATGTGATGGGACGACACGACGGGACTGAGATTTTCGAGGATTCCGTTTGCTTTTCGTTGCACACCGGGCAATCATTTATGGGCCTGGACGAGCAGTGAGGGCAACCCACGCTTTCAGGTTCAGATTTCAGTTTGGACATCCATGTCATGACGCTCGGGCAACCGTCCTTCCCCGTATTGGCTTCTTGAATATTGGTCAAGCTCTTTGAACGACAAGGGCATACGCCACCTTGGGATAGATGGGACCGGGTTGTCTTATATGAAACATCCTTCGATGTGCCGCTTTTCTTCGAAATGCTTTTGGACGGACCGGAGACCAGGTTGCTCTGCCCAGCCCAGTATGGGGGTTTTCTGCCACAGGTGCAGGGACCGAGTAGCTCCTTGGTGCAGGTGGTCAGCGAACTCTTGAAGGTCTTTGTCGTAGAGGCCTCCGGATATGTGATGGATGTCTGCGTATACATGTTTTCCTGCTTTTCGGCCTGTTGGGGATGTACCCCGCACGGGCACGACGGGGGTTTCCTGACTGGCGGCGGATCCGCGGACTTGGATCGTTTGAAAGGACATGAGCAGGTTGGTAGTTCCTTGCGTTTTTTATGTTCTTGCAACCAGGAGCTCTCTGTCTGCGAGGGCTTGGCATACGGATTATCGGAATCAGTGGACTGGCTCTTGGGCTTATTTAATGGCTTCCGGTGAGTTTGCAGGTAGGATGGCTCGGTGGTCTGCTGGTGGCGGGAAGTGGGGTCGCTGCTGGAATGTCGCTCGTCCTGCATGTACATTAGAGCTGGGAATTCTGGAGATGAGAAAAAATAGAAAAAAGAATGGTTGAAACAAGGTCTTATAAAAGAAACCCCAAAGTTAGAAGGGAAATACTATCAGTCGGAAATTACAAATTAATCAATTCCTTCGGTATAGAGAATCCGTAAGAGACAACTATTAACTGCTCACATAACGTAAGAAATGTATAACAGAACAACTTAAATCAGAAAACATATCGAAACCATAAATATCACACAACAGCAAAATGTTGGAACTTCATAAAACCATCAAGGATTAACAGTAGCTAGTAATTAAAACTTTACATCGCTTACGTTATTGTGGCATTTAGGACTCGACATCCGGCCAAAAACCGACCGAAAAGGTATAACACACAGGCGATTCGAATTTTGAATGGGGAAACACATTTTATTCGGTGGGGTGTGCCGTTGGTGCGATCAATTCCTTAATCTCCGACAGCTGGATCTCCCGGCCACGGATGGCATCCGGCCGGCTCCACATCTCGCGATGATAGAGTTCCAGGTATTTGGCTTCTGCCTTTTCCCGGCACGGACAGAAGTCAAAGTAGGACGTCTGACTGCAGACCTCGCGGTCCTCGAACTTGGTGAAGATCGTGCCGCGCTGGACACATCGGCACACCTTTACATTAATGTGCTCCCAGTTGGTGGCAAGGGAGCGCTTCATCCACGGACACAGACAGCAGCCGCAGTTGCCGGGACAGAAGACGTTGCCCTCCTCGTCCATGATCGGACTCGGATCGTAGCGGCAAGGCGAACAGTTGGAGAATTCCTTATTCTGGGGCAGAACCATATAGTATCGTTTGCTCGTCGTCGGAGCCTGCGGTGTCGGCTCCGGCGTTAAAAGTCGTTCCCTTTCCGTTTCGTAGCCATCACTGGACTCGGGTTCCGATTCCTCAGATTCGGTATCCGGCCCGAGTCTGCCCAACTGCGGCTCATCCTCCTCATCCTCCTCCTCCTCTTCCTCCTCCTGTACAAGCTCCTCCACCTTTTCGTGCAACGACACTTCCTCCTCAGACTCACATTGCAGCTCGGGCACCGTAAGTAAGGATATAGATATCACCTCGCGCGCCTCCGGATCGTAGGTCTGGCGAAATGTTCCTTGCGGACAGTAACAGGAGCGAGAGGAAGAGTCACCGCAGCTGCCGACGAAGGCGTCGGATCGCGAGCGCTCAGACAGCACCGAGTCGCAAGGGTGGAACTGTTCGCTAACGGATTTACCTGAGTTGGGCGCCTGCGACATCGGGTCGGGATCCATCGGACCCTGGGAGCGGCACTGGCAGACTGGCTTCTTGCGAGTCTTGCATGGCATCTTCCTTTTCTGACAGGTTGTTATCTTGGTGCCCTGCGGATTGAACTCTAGCGGCATCTGGACGGTGACAGGCTTGCCGTGCAGCGGACAGCCGGCGCGGGATTTCTTTGGGTCCACCAGGCGGGCGGTCAATTCCAGGGTAACGGCGCAGGGTTGGTTCCAGCCGCCTGACTTGTCGAAATTTTTCAGCAGCATCTGGGTGGCATTGGCCGCCCGTTCCAGGGCCTCTCGTATTGCACCGGGATCGTCGAGTTGGCACCGACTGGGCCCGGCACCTCGGCTCTCCTGGGTCTCCTCGCAATCGTAGAAGACTTCCTTGTCATCCCTGCTGTTGCGTCTTTGTTGACCGTTGTTGGCCACAAAGAGAAGTCGCGTGGACTCGAGGCCCATGCTCCGGGGAACATTCATGCTGCTTGGGTGCGAAAAGTCCATCGAGTCTGCGACTAAGGTTCCGGCACTAGCGACAGTGTTAGGGGCGCTAAGAGCCACACATGCACTACTGTCCGAGTCTTCATCCATGACACTAGAACGGCTCGAACTGTTTCCCCGAATCAAGTTCCAAAGTCACATTAAATTTTTAAGTGTGTGCTGCTGGCTCGATTGTTCCTAAAATACTGGTCTTTGGGCAAGGAACACCTTGACAGGTGAGGGCATTGGATGATCGGCCTACTGCTGCTTTGATATAATGGGAACCTTTTGAAGGGTATCTTTCACAAAAATAATTCGAAGCCGTTTTCTCAGAAAACTTTTCTGTAATATTCATTTTAAAGTTGTGAAATCTTTAAGAAAATATTTTCTGATACAAAAAACACAAGCTTATTTCGAAAATAATCCTTTATGTAATTTTAATTTCCCTGAGAGGTTCTGGATGCGAGATTTTTTCTCCATATCTGAACTTCTATAACCACCGATTAAAATATAAATATCCAGATATTAGCTTAATAAAACAAAAAGAATTGCTTTACATTGATAATTTTGATTACAAATAATTTAAGGAATGTGCTCACAGGCACAGGAACGTTCCTGACATCCGGGACAGAGCCCTTCCCTGCTGCACCATCGCACACTTCGGTTAGATGTCCGATGCTTGGTATTGGTCCTTTCGGGCACATCGCAGCCGCAGATGGTCGCCATCGACTTTGGCTGGAATATGTTCACTTTGACCTGACCGGTTTCCGGATTCAGCTCGATGGGCAAATTAAGAGTCACCGGATCACCGCGCAGCTTGCACTGCCTATCCTTGGGACAGGGACACTTATCGTCCGTATGCAGTCGGGCGCTCACCTCCAGAGTTGCTGGATAAAAGCGCGTCTTGGTCGGACGGGAGGGTCCGCATTCGGTGCCACCATAGCACCGCAACATCCGCTGGGTGGCTATGGCAGCCCGTTCTAGAACGGCGCGAATCTCCATCGGATCGTCATACCGCGGAGCCTGTTTGCAGACCACCTCGTCGCCATGACCCATTGCTAACTCGGGTGGCACCACCTCCGCCTCCTCTACCTCGTCGTCGGTCAGGCAGTCGAGGAAGATGTCCACGTCTGCAGTCTCGCTAGTCATGATTTGCTCAAGGAATTACGAATTTAGAAAATCTGAGTAAGAACTGGTTTTACATACCAATGGGCATAGTAGAATTATAATTCTACTATGCCAATGGGCTACGGAAAGCTCTAGGCAAACTATGTATGTCTTAGGTAACTTGACCCAGACAGAAGCGAGAAAACACAACGAGCAAGATCAGTGAGTAAAAACAACGAGTAGGACCTATAAGTAAAGACAGCGAGTGAAGGCAGCGAATAAGGACATCAAGGTTGATAGCGGACAGCGCGACGAAAAGAGGCGAGCAAAGTCGACGAGATGAGAAGCCAGAAGAGCGAGCAAACGACGAAAAGCCTATTCCGGGTTTATAGAGATTATTTCGCATTATCCACGAAAAGATTATTCCGCAACTATGTACCAAATCCACCCAGAGCTTATAACCCCTGAACCAAAAGTAAATCAGCAATACACTCGGTAATTTACATTTATGTTCAATTATATCCAGAAAACAAAAATGCGGCCTCACTTTGAGACATTGAAGAACACCGAAGTTTGGCGCTCTACGGGATAGTAGACGGTGCAACAGAGCTCCGAGTCAATCTTCTGGTTGTAATACTGCACCAGGCGCGCATTAATCCGCTGCTCGATCTCCTCCAGCAGCGCCGATGATGCGGGATGCACAGCTAGCTTCAAGCTTCGCACACAACCCAACACAGCCACGAATCCCTCATAGCTCTCCACCCACCCAGCGGGCTCTCTTCCCGTCCACATGTCCTGCATCCGTTCGATGTTCTCGCGAAAGTCCTCATCGCCCTCCCACAGCTGAATAAGACGCGCTCGGAAGGCTGCCGGTTCAAAGCCAGTGTCTACTGCGTTCTGGACGAGATTGACAAAGCAGCGGGTTCGCAGGGGCATGAGGAGCAGGCGCTGCTCCACGGACACTTCTATCTGCGAGCCGCTATCTGTGGTCTCCACCCGGGCCTGCGCCTCCTGCTCGCAGCAGCCCGGAGACATTTGAATCCCCACCTCCAAAGTGCGTACCTCGTCGGTCTGAACAAAGGAAACTGTGGACACCCGCTCCCATTCCATGTTGAACACGTCGGCGTACTGAGAATGTAGGGAGACCTCAGATCTGGCCGTGTGAACTGTATGCGCAGAGGCCACCGAGTGGAAACTGTTGCAGGAGGAACTCATTTCTAGAGGAAATGCCGAGCATCTTCTTGCGGACGCAAGACGCAGACGAGCACGGTAGATGCGGCGGAAAATAAAACGCCGGAACATGGTACGCCGGCGAGGAAGTGAGACCTGCTCTTCATTAGTGCAAAGCTCCTTTGCCTTCTTCTTCTTCATGGGCGTCGGCTCCCCATCATTCCCGTTGTCCATATTTTGCAATGATGACGAAACTTCGCAGATGGTTACCCTGTTATCATCTGATTGCTTAGCAGTATCTGGATCTTGCAAAATTGTGCGACTGCTGGATCCTTCAACTCCTCCCGAATATGGCCTAAGGCCTAAGTTTCTATATGAGGATGAATGACGCACAACTTCACCCGCCTGACTTTCTTGAGCTTGAGAGGCTTCACTTGCTGGATTAGTTTGTAACGACTCATTTTCGGTCATAGCTCGAGAGACATTTTTGCTATGCTTGGTAGTACCCAGGACATGGAGATTCATGCGGCTGTTGGACGAGCCCAGCGATTGCCGAAATCTGGCCAGCGCGAATCTCCTGGGGCGCGATGACAACCTTTGGACAATTGACTGACTATTTGCCATAAGGCTTAATATCGTGTCACTCTTGTGGCATTCTGGGATGGCTTGAGTGACTTCACTCTCGGGTTTAAGCTGAGAGACTTCACTATCTGGATTTTTTTGAGAGACCTCACTATCAGGACAAGGTTGAGAGCCTTCACTCTCTGGATTGTTTTGAGAGACTTCAGTTCCTGGAATAGTTTTGAAATCTTCGCTATCTGGAATGGTTTTAAAGCCTTCACTCTCTCGGTTAGCTTCAGAGACTTCACTGCCTGGTTTGATTTGACAGACTTCGGTTTCTAGACTGACGTGATTCTCGCAAATTGGTTCTTCTGAGACATCAGGCTCTTTTGAAACCTGTACTTCACCATCGTGAACCGAGATCCAGCTAGTTTTTGATTCGGAACCAGCCGACTTGCCCGACTTGCGGGCAATGAGACTCACCTCGGACGGACTCTGGGAGAGGAGGGTGTCCGCCAGTTGTTTGACGCTGCATGCGACCGCCAGGAAGTCCTTGTGGGTGGGCAGCTCTCGTTCGCGACGCTGTAAAAATGTAGAGCATGTTATTGCTGGCTAGCATATCCTATTGGTTCCCAACTCACCTCAATGTCGAGCAGGGCAATGCCCAAACCCTGACTGGCCGTCTGCAGGTCCGGCACCTCGTCCTTCTTGGCTCGCTTGGCCGGACTGTCGTAGAGTTCATCGGCCAGACTGTAGTTCTCGGGGATAACGCCCAGCTTCCGCTCCAAAATTTGGCACTGCTCGTCCTTGGTGCGCAGCTCGTCCTCTAGGCAGCGGGCCCGCTCCTCGGAGTCCTTCATCTGCGTCTCCATCTGGCGGATTTTGTTCTCCAGCGTGCCCACCTCCTCCTTCAGCTCGCTGTTGGTCACCTCGATGTGCATGTACTCCTTCTTGATATCGAAGATCTGGGTGCGCAGGGCATCCGTCTCCTGCCTCAGCTGGTCCTCGGTGTTCTGCTGCACCTTCTTGGCGAAGGACAGGTCATCTATGAGCGTCTGATTGCGTCTCCGTTCAACTTCTAAGGCTTCGGTGAGGGGCATTTTGTGCTCCGCTTCAATTTCCATCTTGATTATCATGCTCTCCATGCTGCACTTCAGCGTGCTGTTCTCAGTGAGTAGATCCCGATGCTCCTTGGTCAGACGGACCAGGCAGGACTTCAAGCCCTGCTCGGCCTCCTCCAGCTGCTGTATCTTCTCGGCCGCCGCACGGGAGTCCTCCCGCAGGCAGTCCTGCAGCTGGGATATCTTCTGCTTGAGACTGGCCTCCTTGGACTGACAGGCCTCCTCGCGCTCCTTGTACTGCTGCTCCAGATCGACCCAGTGCGAGTCGGCCGTCTCCATTGCCTCGTAGTGTCTGGCATTCAGCTCCTTGAGTTGGCAGCGCAGGCTCTTGATCTCCTCCTTGAGGTACGAGACCTCTCGACCGTCGCCGGCATCGTGGAATCCCGTCTGGCTCAGGCCAAAGTCCGTCGTGTGCAGCTTGTCGCCAACTCGTAGCTCCTCAGCTGCCTGGGCGTTGTAGCCTGAGGTGAGCCGGGGACTACGCCTTGGGGTGGACATTTCGTTGCCCATCTTGGCCAAGGACAGCAGCCGGAAGATTAGCAGTAGTGGCAGGGAATGCCGTAGATCCTGCAGCTCCTTTCGGGCCTGCTTTCGCTCCGATTGCAGGTGTTCCAACTGAGTCTCGGCAGCTGCGAGATCCTCGCGCAGAATGATCACCTCGGCACGGCAGTCCTTGTACTTTGCTCCCAGAGCCTCTTTGCCGAACTCCAACTCAACGTTGCGCTGGCGCAGGATTTCCAATTCCACCTCGTTACGCTGCAGATGGAGCCGGGCGTCGTTCTCCGCCTCCTCAAACTCGCACTTGGCCTCCTCCAACTGGGCGTTCTGGTCGGTGAGCTGTTGCACCCTGTCGAGCAGCTCCTTGAGATCCTTCTCCAGCTGCAGTTCCTTCTGCAGACGCTGGGCCAGGTGTCGGGCCTGGGTATCGCCGCTGCTCTCGTAGATTAGCAGCTTCCCCTCCAGCTGCTCCAGCCGATCCTGGTAGAACTGCAGGTGCGGGTGGCCCTGTGAATGCGTCGGCGTCAGAGGAGCAAGGTCGCACTCCACAAAGACTCCGCTCTCGCTGAGGCTGCTGCTCTGCCACGAGCTCACCTGGTTGCAGTGCCTTTTGCTGGGCGTGGGCGGGCTCGAGGGCGTGGCACAGTTGCTGTACGGCTGCACTGTGGCCACTATCCTATTGTGACTGTTGTGGCTGTGACTTTGGGTTTGGTTACTCGGCCGTCGGGCGTGCGTGTTCTGGGTGCGAAAAATAGTAAAAAACTTTAATTTTTTGCGCGGAAAACGCGGTCGCGATATCTGATCAAAAAGGTCATTTGAACAAGCAAAAGTGTGAGAATAACTGGGATATCCGTGTTTATATATCTAAATAAAGAAGGGTGTGTGTGTGTGTCCGTAACACATTCTACGAATGACTTTCTACAGATAACTGACAAACTGGACTGGGGTGGCTCAGAAAATAAGAAAGTATCTTTTATATTTCACAAAAATATCCTAACAAACTACCAAATTTAATTAAATTTAAGATTTAAAGATCTTCAACAAGTAACTGAAACAGACTATGGATCAGAAGGAATAGAATCAAAACATAGCTTGTAAATTTATATGATCCTTTTTTACAATAACTCACCTGATCTCCTGGCATCATAGCATCGAGATCCAGTTGCTGGACACACTGCAGCAATTGCTGCAGGCACCGCTTGTCTCTATCCTCCAGATCCTGGGCCGAAGACTGCTCCAGCAGATCCTGTAGTCGCTGGCAGTGGCCCTCGCAGGTGCTTTCCATCTGTCAGGAGCCGGAATCAAGAACACAGATATTAAATTTATGTATATTATAGGCCGATTAACAGTTAGTTAGAGCAAGAATTAGCATCAAATGAATGCTCCGCTTCAGACGCTGGCTCCCTCGCAAGTGCACACACAACGAACACAGACTAATTTCACTTTGCCAGTTGCTGTTCGCATAATTACTTTTGGTTATTGCAATTAGGCGAGTGAATTGGATTTTCAAGCTGAACGACTTCGCCGGCACTGGCTGCTGGCTCTAGAAATTAAACGTACCGAAACTGAATAACAACAGAATTGAGCCATGGAAGGGGATTCGAATCATGGATATCCTATGGTAAAATTCAGTTAAATTAGCTTAATACTTTAGTGACTAGTAAATTTGATTTGTTATATTAAAAAACATAAAACATGGGTGATATATAGACAAAATACATCTTTATATTTCTTAACGCTTGGAAAGTGAAATTATTTATTAGTTATAATATTTTATTTTTACTTATATAATAAATTGTCTAAGTCTTCCATAGAAATAATTTTTGATATAAAACAAATTATACATTTTTAGCAAATTATTCATTGGTTTTTACTAAATTTGGTGATTATGAATAACTATATATGGCTTATCTCATTTTATTCAAACTCTATATACCCTAGAATGTACCCTATATATAATTCATTTAATTAAAATAAATTCTTACCATATTAAAATGGTATAAGTTCTCTTCCTTATAAATTTCAAACAATTTAAATTCCCTAACTGACCTAAATGGCCCAAGATACCTCGACTCAGACGATCTAATGGGCGCCCAAAGGTGTGGGGCGCAGACAAAGTCTCTATTCGATTTGGCTGTCTATGAGTAATGACAAAACACTCGCAAGTATAACAAGATTCGTAGATGGCTTCCACTTAGGGCGCTACTCTGCCCTTATAAGCAGCGTTTTAAGCGCTCTTCTCGGATTTGGCTAAAACAACTCATAGGCCAAAGCGTTTATAAGGCCAGCAAGGTGAAATTGTAGGCGTCAATCAAAAGCTAAATTCGCCATGTAAAGTGACACAAGCACAGATCAAAATTAAAACCGAAATGCGAGGTGACATAAACCTCTCGAGTGGACACTAACCATTGGAAAGTTTAACCGCAGTTATCGATTCCTGGCTGTTTGGTAACACAGGGTAATGGGTTTGCCATTAACCGCGGCTGCTCCACTGAAACAATTTCAATTGGAAAACAAAACACAGGCAATAGCAATAGCAACAGCGACAGAAAAGAAAGAAAGAGACTGTTTGTTGCTGCCGTTAAGCCACAACAATTTCCGCGCTGGCTTAGACGCCAAACAAAACTGAGATACTTCGCGAAGCAAACGGAGCTGGCCAAAAGCGCTAATCGCGGCTCAAACCGAACTCGAGTTCGGTTCGAATGAATGGCTCGATTCATTCATAAACGAGCCCCCGCCGCGTGAGTCACTCGCCTGAGTGGTTCCGAAAACTGGATTTGAGTGGTTTTGCCTTTTGGATCTTTCGTTACCTTATCGCTATCGTCTTCCAGCTCCAGAATGCGAAACTCGAGGAGTTCGTTTTGCTCGCGCAGCTCGCTGGTCTCATCCTCGATGCTCGATCTCTGATCCTCCAACTCCTTGATGCGCTGCACCAGCTCACCGATCTGTGTCTGCTTCCGGCCGCTAGACAGAGCGGCCTGCTCCGCAGTCTCTAGCTCCTGTTTCATCAGTTGCACCTCCTTGTGCAGCCGTTCATTCTCCTTTTGGTACATTTCCGCTTCCTTTTGCAGCTTGTCCATGTCCTGCAGCTGCAAGGAGAAACGGGGATGGATTTAGGAGATATTTCAACAAAATTATTCGTGAAATTCTAGATTTAGATCCTCAAACCCATTAAAGAATTTTAAGGTTGCTTATTATTTGAGAATTATTCTAATAGCATAAGTTAATATACATTTTTTAAAAGAAAAAGCTTCATTTTGAAGGAAATTAATTAAGTTAAAATCTATTTTAGTGGCAAGGTAATGGTGAAGCTATTCATAATACAAAATAAGTAAAGCTAAGCTTTGAATCATTTTTTAATGGCTCTGGTTCTTTTTGAGGAAATCCTAGCTGTAGCTTATGATAAATCTGTCTAAAATAAATCACAATAGACAGCTGACTTTCATTAATCATTTTTTGCCTATTTAATTTAAGAGCCAACTCATCCCAGTCATCAATTGGAGCTCTGCCATGGCCGGGTACTTACTGTCTGCCAGATGACGCCGCTGTCGGAGCCGCTCGAAGGCGGCTGCGGGCTGATGGAGGGCGGGGCCGAGGACAGAGCCGAGTCTGTGTCCGAGTTGTGGTCCTTGGGATTTCAAGGGGATTCGATTAGGATGGCATTATATAGCATTTAAGAGCAGCGAATACTCACCTTCGTCTTGAGGGCCGGATGGCTGCTGTGCAGCGTCGTCATCCAGGTGGTGGCCCGCATCTCGTCATCCAGTCCGCTGCTTTGGCTGCTCTTCACTGATGTTGTGGTTGTTGCTGTTGTTGTGCGCATCTCAAGCGCTGATTTATGCGCATTTTTCGAATTGTTGATTAGCTCAATGTTCTTGAGTTGGGTTATCTGCAAAGCGGAGAAGAGCGGAGAGGTTCGGAAAAATTAGAAAATGTCGTGCCACAGTTACATTTGTGCCAGCACTCTCGTTTCCCCACGTTTTCTTTGGCCCCAACTGAACGGCGCACTTAACAAAAGAATCTGTTTTTTATCTAGTCTTCTAGTAAAACCTAGAACGTAGAGCGTTCAGCGTAGAATGTGGAAGAACAGAAGACTGGAAGAACAGAGAAAAGAACGCTCCGCTTTGTGGCGTGCTCTTTACATGTGTGTTAACAGTTATGACTTGATTTCTTGCCACAGACACACATTTGGCCAAAAGCGCCAAATCACTGCCATTGTGGACTGGTACAGGTTGCTTTTGCTTTTGATCCGGACAATGCTGCCTGTCCTGCTCCACCTCCCCGAGAGGTGGGTTCAATGACATGGTCGTGAGGTGCGTGGCATTGCCGCTTTACTTAGCTGGGCCAAGGCATCGGGACTATATGGTATAGTGCCCGCCGATCCTGGTCGTGAGTCATGAAACTCCACGCACAATCTTTATGCTTTAAGCTAAAGCCAACTCACAAGTTTGCGCTCTCATCACGATTTTCATGGTCACGATGCCATCCATCAGGCCTGTCAGCTAATTAGCCTGCAACTCTAAGCCCTAACCCCCAAGCCGGGCCCCAATTCGAAAAGCCAAATCACTTTCCAATCAAGCAACGCCCAGTTATGTTTGCTTTCATGTCAATCGCTTGTTTTATATAACACCCATAATAGCAGTGTTATTATACGCATAATGCAGCATTATGCTAATTTGGGGGCCCCATTGGACATGAAGAGAAATCATTAATCAATTGTGAAACGAGGTACACCCAAAAAGGTTTCCAGAGAGCCCGAGCCCAGCCGAGTCGGTGCAATGACCAACCGCATTCAACGCTTCATTTCACAACTGCAAGCACTGGGAAAAATTGTTGTTCTTAAGAATATTGGATAAGTATTTGCTTGAGAAACTTGTTATGTATAAGTAAACAATGTATTAAATATTTTGTCTGTGTTGTAATTGTTTTCTTGCCTTGAATGTCAATTAGCAAACTTTAAGTGTTGCCATAAAAATATTTTATTAAATAACTAACTTTTCAATGATTTATTTTCTTTATTGCTGACAGTTTAATTTTCTTAATGATTTTTTAACAGAAATGTATTTAAATGAAGATTAAAACGTTGTAATTATTTTGTGGATTCTTTAACACATCATTTTACAGACCTTTTTAAGTATTTAAAATTATATATTCTCCTTAAAATAAGTATACTTTTTTGTACTTAAGTTGTATAATATAGTAAACCCGCTGAATAATTTTTTAAATATTTGCTTTTAATTGTAAATTTATTTCTCTGAGTGACCCGTTCATAACATATATGAGAGAGTCCAGGGTCTGCGGCCGAAAATGGAGTTTGGCGTCGGCGTTGCTTTTACTTATGCCGTTGGGGGCTTGGTGTTGGTGTTGGTGTTGGATTGAAATTATCGCTGCCGGCGTTGGTGTCGCATGCCTGCACGTCTTCCAATTGAAATTATCGACTGTGGCAGAGTCAAGAGCCCCTGATGTGGTGATCGCCTCTGCCGGAGAGCTAACCGTTATGGTAATTTCTTGGTTCGATTCCAAGAGAACTTTTTGCATAACGGCCGGTGAACGAACTCGATCAACGTGCTCGGCAAGATTAAGCAAGCAAGTGGCTACAGGCCTTCGATCAACCATCTACCATATACTATCTCCCGTCTGCTATCCGCAATCCCCTCGATTCCGGGGAACTACCACTTGATGGCTCTATTGATGCCATATGCAGATTGCGCTAAATGCAGCGTCGACGTTGCGAGACGGAGATGCGCCATCGGGTTGATTTCAAACGCTCGATCTCGATGGATTGTTTGTAAATCTGTCGGCAGTCCCCCAACCTGCTGAGCCATATACGATACGCGGAGATGCGGAGATACTCAAACTTGGATACTCGGATACCCCGGCTGCATATGTAGGTGTGTTTATGTCTCGCTGTCGGTTTGTTTGCACAAGCCGCGGGCCAGGTGATTGTGATTGTGTGAAATGATTTTCCTTTCTGCAGACAGGTTTCACTTCGACTCGGAGTTCGACTTCGATCGGTGCAACAACTGCCACTGCAACGAGACCCAAGATGCAGCGTTCCGGGTTCGACTCCCCCGGTCCGTGGACGATTACGTGTAACAGCAGCCATCAAAAGGCATCGCCGGTGCCTTACCTACAGTTGCGGTCACAATACTAGACCTAAAATGTACCTTCCGGAACATGACACTTGGTTTTTTTTTGGGGGGAAATCCTATGAAATGTAGGTATTTTTTGGAGAGGAATGTTGCCTCAAAACACGACTTTAATTCTAGTGTATGATCTTCTTGATATAATGTCTAACTTTAAACAATTTTCTTTCCGTAATTCCCAATTCTTAATGCCACTAACCTGACCCCCACTGTATATACCAACTAGTAGGTATATAAGTTTTCTTATATTTGCATTTGGCATTGTAATTCAGGTTTGACTCTCCGCACAAAGGCACTGCCTTGATTTGATCTTGCGAAAGCGAAAGTTTATATGCGCTAATGAATTATATTGTATTGTATTGCAGATGGTATATGGTATATGGTCGAGACAGTGGGTATTTGGTATCTGCTGGTGTGTCAGGAGGGCCAGCCGAGCGTAACTCCACTCCGGCGATGGGGATAAGCTAATTGAACTAATGAATGGACTCGGAGGGCCCTGTTGACATATATGCATTGCGGACCGTTAATTTGCATCGATATCGCACAACGAACCGATTCATAACGATTTCCGATGCCTTTCCCTTTCGATCTGAGATACCACAAATGGGTAATTATTCATCCGTCGCGGCCTCAGCTGCTTTTTGGATGATGATGGCCCCCTTTTGTGGGTTAACAAAAATTTGCTAAATTTTTATAGACACTGCCGTGTGGCAGAAATGTCAGGCTGTAAACACTTTTGATATCGCCGATGGGATAGTCAATCATTCAAGATGATCTCTTAATGATTTTCGAAAGTGGATTAAATTGAGGCCGATAAGCTCCAGTTTTATATATTTTTAAGTTGTTTATTATGCATTATCTTTTAAGCAAAATTAAATGAAATTAAATTAATAAGTGGGTTATTGATTGAAGCCCTAGCTTTCGAAATTGTATATTTAGTCTGTCATCATAGAGTTTATATTTTTTGAAAGCAAATCGAATAATAATAATTACACCATTAATTGCAGGAAATGTAATTTAATCATCTGTTTACTTGGCAGTTTCCTTCCTTTCTTCCTTAAAAAAACGAATTTAATAAAACATTTTTAGAAAGGTATATAATTTAAGATGAAGAGTGTTTCTTTCATAGCAATTATTTCTTTACTATTTCTAGCTTTTATTATGCTTCTTTCTCCACTTTTATTCAAGTATTTTATTATATAAATTCAGACCCTCATCGATTATCTTTATGTCGCTCCATAAAATGGCTTCAAATCAATTATCAAAATTATAAAAGTGATTTCCCTTTTCAAAGAATGAAACTTCTCTGCGTTTTGTTTATTCTAGAATCGTATTATATACATTTAGCGCCAATTTGAGGCGACTGCCCCCGCCATTCCATTCCCATAAATCAGATATCGATCTCCCTTCGGCTAATTGGCTATGGCTTACGCGTCGTATGAGCAATGCCAGTGGCGGGACAGCTGAGTAACAAGTGTTCCCAGAAATAGACGGCTATTAACATGGCTTAAAGTACAGATTTGGCAAGTGTCTATTACTATTTGCACTGGTCAATTGGTCAATTACCTTGACATCCCTCCGGTCGTAGTAGTAATCCATTGTCAGGCGTATTTATGCATTATTCCCACACATGGAGGTACATATGTGTGTTTGGGTGTTTAGAAAACACACACACAAAAAACAATTAACCGCAATTTTCAGGTTTTTCAGCCTTTTTCGTCTCTTTGATGGCATATAGTTTTCACCGTGGTAATTTCACTAAAACATCGAAATTTATAGACACATTCGGCGAAACGATTCGCGATTTGCATATGGTTCACATTTCCATTTCACACACCCCTTTTTTTCTCTCTCACATGTCGTTTATTTTTTTGTGTTGTGATTACTTTGCATATTGGTAGCGTCTTGTTTTAGCAACATCATCATCATCACCATCACCAGCAACTACATCAAAGCCATCATCATCATCGCTTCGCTTTTACTGTCGTTGGCCGATGGAACGATGGGAAGTTGGGGATGACTAAATTTCTGCAGACCCCATAGTCATAGTCGTAGCAACATATCGTATTTAAAATAGCGTTAACATTTTTTAAAAGCTTTTCACTGACCCCAATTGGAGGTGTGCGCACACACACTCCCCACAACCACACACAATTTTTTTTTCCTTAAAGACTCTTAGGGGAGAGTGCTGTCTTTATGTGATACACAGGCGAAAATATCAATCAATACTGTTCAATTTATGAGCAAGTACCTAAGTTAAGTTCGGTGAGAAGTTATAGTTAACATTTAAATATAATAAAGAAAATATTTTTTAATATTTTAATTAAATAATATTCTTATCTCAGCAATGCTTTTTAAAATGCCTTAATATCTTTTTCTGATAATAAAAATAGTTATTCTTTAATAAAGCTAAAAAAAGATTTATTTTTAATTTCCTTGCAGTAATGCAGTAGTTATTTATTTTTGTAGACAATCAAATGAATCACCCTAAAGCCTTGACTTTAATTACATTTTCTTTTTAAAGCCTTTAAATTCACATATCTTAGCTAGATGCAAAGAAGTTTTGTGTTTGTTTATTATAAAAGTTAATGCACCTTTTTAATTGTGTCAAATAAGTCAGCGTGTTTTATGGGGCAATTAATTCTTCACACATTTTTATGATCCTCTGGAGGTGGCTGAACCCTCGAAGGAGTTGTGGGGGATCGTTAATAAAAAAATAAGAAATTCTTGTATATAGTTTTCTCTGGGTGTATTTATTGATGCCGCGTCTATTTCTTGTTGCCAGATGACATCGTTGCCCCGATGTTGATGATGTTGCTGCTGCTGCCTGCACTTGGCTATGCAAATGTGAGCCAAACCGCTAGAAACTTGTGCGAACTGTCCGACATCCGAGCTTGGATTAAAGAGATCCGAGAGCCAAACCCGATCTTGATCTCAATCTGGAAACAGTTGTCATGGCTCGCTGATCTTCAGCTGGATCTGGGATCGGGGATCTCCAATCTCTGGCCATAACAAATTCTCGACTACTTTGGCATCGAGATAAAAACAATTACGTGCAGGCGCGATTAATGAACTGTAAAATCGAATTCGATCATTGGAACGGAACGACGGAACGAACGGCTATATATAAATGGACAAATCGGGGGAGCGGTGTGAAAGGCAATTAATTTTGATCGTTTTTGGCATATTTTTCACTAAACTACAGTGCGAACGCGGTGAAATTATGGGTTCGTGTGTGCGTTAAACAATGCAAAAGTGAAAGACAAGCTGTAAATGGGTTTTCCTATTATGATTTGTTGCTGCCCGAAACTCAATTCAAAAGTAACGATTGTTTGTTGTGGCACGGTGGTATGGTGGTATGTATCCACCGATCCGGCGGCATGTGTTTATTGTATTCGGTTTTTGGTTCCTTCATTTTTGTGGCATTAAGCCGAAGACAATGCACTCACGGTTTGTGCCAATGAATGGCCCAGAATTAGCAGCGAATTTCACCTAATTATGCACTCTTTGAACTCGCATTTTTACCCATTTGATTTGTGCACTTCACTTGGGGATTCTCGTGTATTATTTATTTATTATTATTTTCTGTGGGGCGCACACACGGCACACCTGAGCTGCTGCTGCTGCTGCTGAGACACCTGCGACGTCGGCGAGCTGAAAACCCGAACTGACAACCATTCATGCGAGCGGTACACTCTCGAGCGGCGGGAGAGAAAGTGACTGACTGAGTGAGTGAGTGCGAAAAACCGGCTCAGGTCCGCTCGGACCCTCTCTTTCTAGAGAGAAAGAGAGACAGAGCACTGGCGATCCACTTGCAACACTTGCACTGCTGCTGTTGCTGCTGCTGCAACTGCAACAATTGCCGCAGTTGAGCAGGTTTTCTTCTGCACTTTTTTTTCGGTTTTTGCCCACCGCTTATCGACGCGACGCGTCGCAGCGATTGTTGTCTCTGCCATTCTCATAACTAACGCAAAATTATATCATAGATCATGCCAATAGTGCATAACCGCCAGATACCAGATACAGATACAGATACTTCAGCACAGATACAGAGTACAGATACAGCTAACGATACTGTGGCTCTTAGCATTTAACCCAAGCCTCCGGACAAGTTCAAGTGCCTGGCCCCACTCCAAAAAAAAAAAAACAGCAATAAACCAAAGAAATAAAGAAAATAAAGCTTGAAAACAGAAAGACTCACCTCAGGTGTAACTTGAGCCTGGCGTATGGGATTTTGTATATCTTTTATATCTGTATCTGGTTCGTTTTCGGCTTTGGTTTCTCCTGTGGGTTTCGCCGGGTTCGTTGTGGGTTTCTTCTTTGGCTTTTGGCTCGTTTCGTTTATGTTCGTTTTGGGTTTCGTCGTTGCTGCTGGCACCTTGGCTTCATTCTGCTGCCTTTGCTGTTTCTTGGGACTCTGCAGTGCCAGCAAGTCCTTCTTAAGTTGTCCTATATTACGTTCTTTGGTCTTGATTTCCTCTAGCTGTAAGTTAGAATCATAAAAGATTAGAAGGTTGAAAGAAACTTTAAACATATTTGTTGATTTGTCTACTGTAAATATCTTTAAGATGAATAGATTGTAAATTGAATATCTATGTGCTTGTAAAGGTTTTGATTTTGTATAAAAAGACCTAATCGAGGCTTGGAATGATATGACATTGCCTCCAGAAACCTCTAATATTTAGATAAATTATTTTTATAGCAATAGAGTTACAGATCACAGAAACACATGAGATATAACATCAACTTCAAGTTAAATTATATGCAAAATGAAACTAATACTTTACTTAAATAATAAAAAAAGAACTATAAAATGATCACCAGGGCAATTTATAGCCCTCTCGAGCTAGTTAAAAATGTCTTGACTTTTGGTTTTTCGACTGTGCAAATCCATCTAAAAACTGCATGTATGAATTTCAATGGTCTCCGAAGTGGTATGAAAAGTTGCCCGTCCGCTTCTGAACGCTGCCGCCGCCGCCGTCGGGTTCCGTTCCCCCTCCAATCCCCTCCGCTCTCTAGCCCGTTATTTTCGGTGACCCGTTAGCCGCTGCCGCTACGCACAACTTACCAAACGTGTTATTTCAATTTTGGCTGATTTCTGTATGTGAGTCAATCGGTTTTCATACGCGTTCTTCAATTGCCGCATATCGGCAGCCTTGAGTCTATCAGCCTGCCCCATAATCTGCAAGAAATCGTCAAGTCATACACCAATTTTGTTGCTTTGGAGTCCAGGAGTAAGGGAGCTCGGCAGCTGGGCAGCTAAGCCAGCGGAATTGGGGGGTTAAAGCTGGCGGTTAAAGCCAATCCATGCGGTTAGTTTGCACTTTGCGATTAGGTCGCACATCCATTAACCAAACGAGACACAAAAAAAAAAAAAAAAAAAGAAACAGACACAAAAACATGGAAAAATGGTAAAAATAACTGGAAAGGAAAGTTCACGAAAAGTATAGGGGATCCAGATACCCTTTAAAGGTATATTAATTTTAACAGCTCAAATTAGAATATATAGAAATGTGGAGAATATCCAAAAATACTTTCACTCGCTGAGAAAGTTAAAATGGTAAACAAAAACGATGTGTTAAATATTCATCGTATATTCTGGATCACCAAGACGAAAAGAGGTATACATTATAGGGTTCTTACTTTATTTATTTAATTTTCCCTCGATCCAAATATATTTATTAATTATTAGTCCAGTTTAAAAACGAAAAGCAGAAGCATCAACAACAAGTTATCATTATAAGACTATATATATTATTTTAAATATTCATTAAGCTATTATTTCTACAAAGCTTCTCCCAAAATACCCAACAAATTTATAACCAATTCAGCTCTACATTATCTAATAAAAAAAAAACGGAACCCACTCTAATTGAAATTTCCTTTAAGGGTTAGGGTAAGCAGAAAATATATGGCACAATATTTGTTCAATGTCCTCCCCTGATATGGCGGGCATTAATGAAATTGCCATATCGAAATTGGCATTGGGTATAAAAACAAAGGTGCCTTCGCTCGGGACAAACAGTTGGCTGCGCCATGTCCTTTCAGTGGCTAAGACAGTTCCTGCTCCTTCTAACCGTGGCCCATTTGGGCGGGGCAGGTGAGAATCACATACCTTTGAACACCAAGAAGAGCTCGCACCTAATGGTGCAAATGAGCGAAATCCTGTGCAGGGCCAAGATCAAGGTGCTGTTCGTATACTTCGAGAATCAAACCTCCCACGAGCACACGGGTCAGATCCTCAAGGAAGTGACCAAGTGCGACATATCCTACATTTCCCTGAGGTAAGCTAAACACAATAATATTTTTTTCATAATATTTTTTATCTTATAAACTCATTTTCTTTTAAAAGAAACCAAAATAGCCCCCTGGAGGCGGTCAAGGACGATGGTATACTCATGTACATGGTGATGATCATCACAAACATCTCCCAGCCCTTGGAATTGTCATTGATTCGCAAGAAATCCGCCGCCAAGCATCGGTCGCATGTGTTCCTCTTGGTGAGAGATGCGGACACCGTTTCCGATGCCTGGATGCGGGCCAGTTTCCGGCAGTTCTGGAAGCTCTGGCTGCTGAACATAGTGATCCTTTACTGGCGGGACGAACGCCTGCATTCCTATCGCTACAATCCCTTTACGGATAACTATCTAATACCTGTGGATCACGCACCCGGCGAATTGCCCACCTTGGATCAGCTCTTTCCCAAAAACATTCCCAATATGCAGAGAAAGCCGCTGAGGATGTGCATCTACAAGGACGACGTCAGGGCAATTTTCTGGCGACAGGGAATCATCCTGGGCACTGATGGCCTGCTGGCGGGCTATGTGGCGGAGAGACTGAACGCTACCATGATGATAACTCGTCCGCACTCCTATAATAACCACAACCTCAGCTCGGACATCTGCTTTCTGGAGGTGGCCAAGGAGTTTGTGGATGTGGCCATGAACATCCGTTTTCTGGCACCGGATACCTTTGAGAAAAAGGCGGAGAACACGGTGTCCCACACGCGAGATGATCTGTGCGTGATTGTGCCGAAGGCCAAAACGGCTCCCACCTTCTGGAACATATTCAGGTCGTTCGGTCCATTGGTTTGGGCTTTGATCCTGGCCTCCGTTATATTGGGCAATATCTTTTGCTATTTGCTAAGGGAAGGCGTGGGCGGTGTTCCCATGCAGCTCTTTGCCGGGGCCCTAACTTTACCTATGACTGGTATTCCGCGGAACCACTCCCTCCGGTTGTTCCTCATCTTCTGGCTGTACTTTGGAGTGCTCATCTGCTCGGCGTTCAGGGGCAACTTGACCAGCATGATGGTGTTTCAGCCCTATCTGCCGGATATCAATAACTTGGGCGCTTTGGCCAGGTCTCACTATCGCATTCTGATCCGCCCACGGCACCTGAAGCACATTCGTCACTTCCTGACCCTCGGGCACAAGCACGAGGCCAGGATTCGCGAGCTGATGCTGCAAATGCCGGATGCCGAGATGTACCAACTTATGAAGAACAACGACCGCAGGTATTTACATTAAGTATATCCAGAATTAATTTATATCCATATACAATCATTCGATCTACATTTCTCCTTGCTAACAGCAACCTATTTTACAATTTCCCTGCTTCCCAGATACGCCTATTTGGAGAAGTACCACATTGCCCGCTTCCAGGTAAACAACCGGATGCACATGCAGCTGGGCCGTCCGGTTTTCCACCTGATGAACAGCTGCCTGGTGCCGTTCCATGCCGTCTATATCGTGCCCTACGGTTCGCCCTATCTGGGCTTCCTGGACTCACTGATCCGGAGCTCGCACGAGTTTGGCTTCGAGCGTTACTGGGACCGCATCATGAACTCAGCCTTCATCAAGTCGGGAGTGAAATTGGTAAAACGTCGGCGTGGGAGCAGCGATGACCCGGTGGTCCTTAAACTGGAGCACTTTCACGCCGTGTTCTCGCTGTGGCTGGTGGGGATCGGGGTGGCGTGTGTGGTGCACATCTGGGAGCATTTGACCCACAACTACAGCTGGGCGGTAACAAGGCGGCGGCACTAACTCACGAGCGGTTTCATGCAACATGCAACGGCTGATTGGCCACAACTGTAAGAACTCACCTGGGTCTTCTCCTCCTTGGGTCGATTTGCTTCCTTTAGCACGGCGATCTCGTTAGTCAGTCTTTGGATTTCATAGTTGATGAGGCCATCGGCGGTCACCAGTGTGCCGGCCGATTCTGGGCCCGATTCGATGGGTTTCTTTACACCATTGCTCTTCTTGGCAATGTCCAGCGTGTGCTGGAGCTTCTTCACTTCGCTCTTCCAGCGGCGGCTATCCGCGTCGTTTTGTGCCCTGGAATTGGTAAGGAGGGATTAGTTATGGGTAAGATATAGGACCCTGGATTTCATAGACTAACTGGAATTATTCTTCTTTTTATTTTCTTTAAAATTACATATTTTATGGCTTTCTTATTATAAAAGTTTTAAATTATAGATTGTCTTAATTTCTTTATTTTCCAGCGGGTTCTATTACGCACGTTCAAAACTTATATATAATTATAAATGATAATATATAATGCAATACATTTGTAGTTCTAAAGTCTCTTCATCTGATTCTAATTATCAGCACACAAAAAGGTCAATAAATGTCGCAGTACAGTTCTACTTAGAGACTTGTTAAAGGCAGTGTTTATTTATATATTTTAATTTGATTGAAAACTATCCAAATAATGTTTAGATATAGCAAGTACTATCTACGCTATAAATCTCGAAAATTCCATAATTTAACAAATCACTATCTTCTGGTATTCTACCCAGAAACTCACCTGAGGGCCCTCACAGCTCCGCGTTCTGTGATCAGGCTGGACTTCAGTTCGTTGACCTCCAGCCGGAGCTGTTCGGTGAGGGCATTCAGCTTCTGGATGGTGTCCAGATTCTCCTGCAGCTTCCTCTTAATCCGCTGCGGCGGTGCTGCAATCACATTTGTGGTCGTCACGCCGCCTATTATTACGGGGCGTTCCCTTTCCCGCTGCTCTTTGTCTACTTTGGCAGCTGGCTTGGCTAATCCTGCGGCTGGCGTTGCCGCCTTGGCCGCCTCGAAGGACTGTGTGTCCTTGGGACGCAGTTTCCCGCGGCATTGCAATTGAATGCCCTCGATGCGGGTGCGCTTCTCCTGATTCACCGTGTCCCCCACTGAGGTCAGGGAGGTGCTCAGCTTCTTTTTGCGCTTCAATTTATTCTTGGCCATCGTTTGCCAGTCTTCGATATCGTGCTTGCTGCTCGCCCTTTCTGCTTGGAAGCTGTCCTTGGGCCTGGAGCCAGGATCCGCCCGGCGAGCCACAGTCCCGTTGTGGGGCGCCAGGACATGGGAGGACCTGCTCTCATTACATCCCTTGCCAGAGGTCGTTTTTGTTTGGTTTTCAGCCATTTTTATGTAGCTTTAGTATATAAAAATGTTGCCGTCGTTTTTTGTATGGTTTTTTCTGAGTTTTCTCAAGCTTCTGCATATGCGGTGCGGTCCGACCCTGTCGAAAGTCCCTGCTATACTTCACCTGGTCATCGATGGATTCTCCTCAATCTGCAAGCAAGAAAGTTGGGCAATTAAATTTTTTATATATATTTAATTACGGCTCATGGCGAGCCAAGAAAAAATAACTAGTGAATAGGTATATTTGCATAATTGGTCATTTGTATGGTAGTTAATTTTTGCTTGCTGCGTTTTATGTATACCATAAAAATGTGAATACTGAAGTTAATTTTTATTTTGTAATAACCAGCTGTAAATTGGCAATAAATGCTACCATATAATATGACTAATTTAATAGTTTATGTTCCCTGATAACCTCATTTTAGAACACAGTTTACTTGTCTTGGACAACTGATTATAAATACTTAATTATGACCCTGAACTATGGCATTTATTATAGCAAAAAGACTGGAATATATAGGTTAAACAATGAATAAATGCTGAAGAAATAAGCTATCTGAGAAATGCAACAAAGCTACTTTATTTATTGTACTAAAACTGTAACTCGTATCGGAAGTGCATTCTTTTCTAGACTAAAATCCAGCTTATGTAATGTTTGTTAATCGATTCATTCAGAGTTCTCCTTAAACTCTCTCCCTTTAACCCCTGAAATCTCAGCCTGCAACCTCAAGGCGTTTCTTTCTTTCTTCTCAGTCTGGGAGATTCCCCTTTGTCTGGTCGCATTTCAATGGCTTCTGTTTAGCCGTTGACTTTTCAGTGCTTTTCTTCGTTGTTCTGGGCTAATCAACAAGTTTTTCCCCCGTTATTGATTTCCACAGCAGAGCTTTTCCTTTCGTTTCGCCATAATGGGTCGGGCCACACATGAATGAAAAGAAACATATTGGCACCCTGGGACTGGGAAATAGTTTACGATGCCAATTGCGATGGATATACTAGTCCCGAATGGCGTTTCCTACTGACGTCATGCGGCGCGCCTTTTGGAAAATGTAGAACTAAATGGAAGGAGCCTCCATGTGTTTTTTCACGTTCCCCCCACGGGGGCTCTTTACACGCAATAAAAGCGTTTTTCATTAGTTTTGTGTTGTTTTTTTTTTCTAGAGCAGAATTCTTTGCATTGCTCCCACATCCGCCCGAAAGATTATAACAAAGCATCTATATATACTGTCTGCTCTGGTGCACACACGAGGGCCTCAGTTCATATAATGCTCTGCGAGAGTTCTGGCCGATCATCTTTATCAAGGCCGCGATCTGTATATAGGTACATATGTATATATAGAGCGACAGATGTGTGTACTTAGCAACCTTATGGCGCTTAATTGGCAGATGATTTGTTTTCTTTGGTTGTTACTATAGAGTGATTAGGAGTACCTGGTGCTTGGTGATGTACATATATCTCAAGGTTCTGTTAGTTTTGTAATAGTGTAAAAATAAAGATGTAGACATCCACTTTATTTTTATTTATGAATGAAACAAAAAGAAATGAATTCTTTCCTAATCTCTTGATATTTATTTACTTACTCGAGTAAGTCTATATAATACTACGAGTTCTTTATAAACTCTTCCTTATTATTAGTGTTTCCCTCTAATAAAGCAACAATTGACAACTGTTTTCCCAACCTAGTTACAGCTTAATCCGAGGGTATTATTTTCATTTTTAACTGGGGGCAAGTTTGAGGCTCTCATGTTGCATTCAATTTAATTAAATTAAAAACCGCCTGCCCCAGTCAACGCAATAATAAAATGTTTTCGGGTCGACACACGCCACGGTGACATCACAGCCTTTTGGTGTGACCGGCTTGGATGGGATTGGTTTTTGCTCAAACGAAGCCAGTCTGCCCACCCACTCGCTTTCCATCCAACATCATCCACATGGGCAGATGAAAGTCTCTTTGGTTGCTTTTTGCTCTTTAAGTATGTATATTTTCAGACATATATCAATTTGAAAATATTGCCAAACGATGAGTCGGACAGCCGTCGAGTGTACAGTTCGCGCGGCTGATTCATTGAAGATCACGTATACGCACCATTAGCTGTGAAATCCTTGGGCGTCGTAGACCAAAGTTTGGCATGCCTTGCTGTTAACACGAACCTGTATATTTATTCACTCACTCACTCACTCCACTCTGTGTAATGTAAACAGTTTATTTACTGCTCGTTTGCCACTGTTTCTTGCAGTGTAATGACGTCAATACGTTAATTCTCGTAGACTTTTTTTTGTTTCGCGCACAGACCAAGTAAAATATTGTCGGTATGTGGAGCAGTTCTTCTTCGACAATTATTTCGCAAAAATGTTCTTCCTTTATTTGATTTCGAATTATTCACAGAGTTCGTTACAGGAAGTATCAATTCAGTATCAAAAAAATAACACAGTTTCGTCGATTTTCAAGTGAGTAGTTATGTTCGGTTCGTTGGGGGTATGTTTGTATGTTAATTAGTTGCAATCAATTTAAATTTATAAATTAAAAGAAGTTCTATACTAGCTAGGGTTTCGTTTGCTCGGCGATAGCAGAGATCTTTCGTTTCGGCCGGACACCGATTGACTAACTCGGCCTCCCGAGCTTTCGCAAGCTCTTTCACATTCGCCTCCATTTCCATTTAATTAAAGAGAGCTTTGCCATTTATTGATGCAGTTCTTGGGGTTGCGGGCGGCAAAGCTTCGGCCCGGCGCGGCCCCCAGTGCGTGCGTGCCCAGAAGAATATGCCCAACCCGACCGAAAGCCGGAAGAGGCAATTTATTGGGAGCCGAATTCGTTTTCCTCGCAGTTCCCAAATTCATAACAATAACAAACATGCCGCTCGCGTATTAATAACTTAAGATATGGGAACTTGGAGGCACAATTATGGGTAAAACAGTAGGTTACAAGGGGTTGTGATATGGAAAATTAAATTATTAACAAGTCCAAAGACAAAAATGAATTTAGTGATTAATAACTCAAAGTAATGGGTATTAATTTGAAATGTAATTTCGTATATTAAAACATATTAATCTTCTTAGCATAGAAAAATAGTAAACTCTTCTGATAATGTCTAACAGATTCTTATATCTAACTTCTATATCTAACAAACTTCCGTGTTCAAGTAGTGCGCTAATATATTGTTTTATCTCCGGAAAGCTCATTAAGCATTAATGCAACTTTAAGATAAATTGCATTCTACAAAACGTGACATTAAAGCTGTAGAAATCTTTATACTTTATTGTTGTCTTGAACAAGAATAAATACTTGGACTATCAAACTTAATTCTGAAATAAGTCATAAAAAACCTAGAAAAGTAGATTAAAACCTAATATATTGTTATTTACCAATAGGAACATAAAAAATGAAATATAAACATCCTACAAATGCTATTTTCTTGGCCTCGAATGTCTGTATCTTCCCCTGAATGACCCCACCAACAGCTGGAACTTCACAAATCACAAATAAATTTGACAATCGGCTTAACGACACCATGAATGATGGACACAATTAGAACACACTCAGATTCCAGTCTGTCAACATACAAACGAGAACCAAATAAAAGCACAGAAAAGGGGAACATTCTTTGCACTGGGATCTTTCTGCCTTATCAACCCGTAGTTACTGAAAGATTCTTCAATCGTCTTACTCACTCAGTATTTGCATTTTTCTTGGTCGGTGATCTCCGTTGAGAATCCTGAAATGTTTCGTAATCACTCCGCAATTTTCGAAACAGAATCCATTGGCATTACTTGTGGTCCGTTGTCGTCGTTAGGAGGAGTCTTGAGCAACTAAAATTCCAATTCCACATGACCGAATTAGATTTAGACTGCGCGATTCCATTTGAACCTAATTGTTGTTGAATGTTCTGTATTATTGGCCTTTTGGCGACTCTCTTGGTGCAATTGTTGCCTCGTTGCTCGGTGCACAACTCACTCAAGTTGAGCGGTCGGAACAAACTGAAGATGCGGCGCACATTCTAAAATGGAATAAGCGACATGCGTGCGTGCATCGCCAAATTTATATAAATAGAAAGAATCACAAATCTATATTTGAAGTTGGGAGCGATTTCAAAAAACCGCTCAACAGGTCAACTGTGACGTCACACTGCTATCGATAACTGTTATCGATTGCACTGCAGCGTTTTAATGTGCCCAGAAGAGATTTTTTAGGACTAAAGTCAAATTTTTTATATGGTCACACTATCGTGAATCATTGCGGAAAACGTGAACTTGCCGCTGTCTGCTAGGAAATTCATTGTTTTAAACTGTATTAACGTGGAAACGGCAAAGCCAATCACATAAATATGGTAAGTGAGGCTGCAAATAGTCCCGCAAGCGACCTGGGATGTGAAAACAGTAAATCCTTTGCGAGCGGCATGCGAATGTAAACATAACCTGCAAAGAAGCTTCTCGCAAGTCGCCGCATCTGCTGACTAATTGGAGGTTTTTACCATATATTTACCATATATCCACCGATCCGACAGCAACCGCAAATCGTGCTCCTGAAGGAAGGCACCGACACGTCGCAGGGCAAGCCTCAGTTGGTGTCGAACATCAATGCCTGCCAGTCGATCGTGGACGCGGTGCGGACGACTCTGGGTCCCCGCGGCATGGACAAGCTGATTGTGGACTCGCAGGGCAAGGCGACCATCTCCAACGACGGTGCCACCATCATGAAGCTGCTGGATATCATTCACCCGGCGGCCAAGACCCTGGTGGACATCGCCAAGTCACAAGACGCCGAGGTAAGCTGCAGCGCCCAAGCACGTGACTTTGCTCAAGCTCATTTCTCCTCCTCCAGGTGGGCGATGGCACGACCAGTGTGGTGCTCCTGGCTGGCGAGTTCCTCAAGCAGGTGAAACCCTTCGTCGAGGAGGGCGTCCATCCCCGTGTGATCATCAAGGCTATCCGCAAGGCCCTACAGCTTTGCATGGAGAAGATCAACGATATGGCTGTGCAGATTGTCGAGCAATCGAAGGAGGAGCAGCGGGCTCTGTTGGAGAAGTGCGCGGCCACCGCCATGTCCTCCAAGCTGATTCACCAGCAGAAGGACTTCTTCTCCAAAATTGTCGTGGATGCTGTACTCTCCCTGGACGAGCTTCTGCCCCTGAACATGATTGGCATCAAGAAGGTGACGGGTGGTTCCCTGGAAGAGTCCCAGCTGGTGTCGGGAGTGGCCTTCAAGAAGACCTTCTCGTATGCCGGTTTCGAAATGGCCCCCAAGGGATACGACAACTGCAAGATTGCCTTGCTGAACATCGAGCTGGAGCTGAAGGCGGAGCGCGACAATGCCGAGATCCGCGTGGACAATGTCAAGGAGTACCAGAAAGTGGTGGACGTCGAGTGGCAGATCCTCTACAACAAGCTGGCCAAGATCCACGAGTCCGGCGCCAATGTGGTGCTCTCAAAGCTGCCCATCGGCGATGTGGCCACACAGTATTTCGCCGACCGTGACATTTTCTGTGCCGGCCGCGTTCCCGAGGAGGATCTCAAGCGCACAATGAAGGCCTGCGGTGGTGCCGTGATGACCACGGCCAATGACATCAACGCCAGTGTTCTGGGCCTGTGCGAGCACTTTGAGGAGCGCCAGGTCGGCGGCGAGCGATTCAACTTGTTCCAAGGTGAGTTTCCCTTGGTTATTTTTAAAACGAAGCAGATCTCAGACTTACATTTTCCACAGGCTGTCCCAATGCCAAGACAAGCACCCTGATCTTGCGCGGTGGTGCCGAACAGTTCCTGGAGGAGACTGAGCGTTCGCTTCACGACGCCATTATGATTGTGCGTCGCACCATTAAGCACGACTCTGTCGTTGCCGGTGGCGGTGCCATCGAAATGGAGCTGTCCAAGCTGCTGCGCGATTACTCGCGCACTATTGCCGGCAAGGAACAGCTGCTTATCGCCGCCATCGCCAAGGGTTTGGAGATCATTCCGCGCCAGCTGTGCGACAATGCCGGCTTCGATGCCACCAACATTCTCAACAAGCTCCGCCAGAAGCACGCCCAGGGTAAGTGTTTAAAACTAAACGGGGAACACCTTTAGCACTAAAGTTTTGGATTTAAGATATTAGCTTAGCTTTTCGTTGTCAGGCTCTGACCATCATGAATGTCTTCCAAAAATCTCTACCTTTCAAGAAAAAAAACCTTTACATATTCAGTAAACTTTCCTCACAGCAAGTGTTTAATTAACTTTGCACTCTTTAAACATTTAGAAATCAACTTAAATTAGAAAAATTCACTTATTTCTTGAGCTGCTCATGCCAGAGACGGAAGCAGGGCTCCCAGCACAGCCCCGGCTTGTCTGGACAGGTTTTGCACATAAACTTGCTGAACTGCAGCATACCGCCCTTGTGGCAATAGCGACAGTTCTTTCGCGCCGGCTTCCCGTTCTGCTGGATCTGAGCTGGCTCATGACGAATCTCCTTTGTCTCATCGTCGGCTACTTGTTTCTGCCTGCCCTTTTCGGGTTTCTCTGTCATCTGGGGACTAACCGCCACTGGTTCCTTGGCAACCTCCTCTTTTAGCAGTGACTTGATGATGGCAACACGGAATTCCGAGTAGCTTTTCAGGCGTCCACTGCGTGAATTCTGCACGTTGGCCACGTATAGCAAGTAGGCATTGTAGACGAGGATGTTGAGGAGAAAGATGACCAGTTTCTTGTCTGTGGAAAGGTCCTGGCAGCCGGGTTGATAGTAGATCAGGTGCTGGCGACTTTCGCTGCTATGCCGTAGTTGCCAGTCCAACTCCTGGATCAGCTTGGGTCTGGCATTGGTTTTCTGCATGGACATCTCCTTTGCGTAGATGGCCAGACAGTCGGAGCTAAAGAAGTACAAGGTCTTCTCCCGCCGACGCCACTTGGCCATCATCAGGCTGGTGGCATAGCTGGTGGCGATGCTGTTGGGAGCCAACTGCTGGTGCACCAGAGCCTTGCTATTCCCATACCTGTTCCTGTCCAGTATGCCAGTGCAGTAGGTGCTTCTCTTGGTCAGCTCATAGGCGAGGCCGTAGCTGCCGTAGAACTTTGAGGTGTACACAGTGCGCCCGCCTTGGTGATCTTCTACAAGCTTCAAGCCCAGCCGGTTTCTGTGCTCCACCAGCTGCCGGGAGTTGCGCACCCATGCGGGCGAGTCCTCCCGCCGCACAATCTCGGGCAGGAGCTTCACCACCAGGCCACTCTGCTCGGTCAGCAAGTGCAGAACTAGAGCGTTGCAGCGAAACTTGTCGGGTAGATCCTTGTGGTAGCTAAATCTGCCCTTCCAGAGAATAATGGGATCATTGAGCACCAGTTGCTGGCCACAAACGTGCTGCTCGGCCATGCGCTCGTTGATGAAGTTCAGCAGCGGGAAATCGTCCTTGGCCTTGGACCTTCCCGTTTGGGGTTGGAGAGGATCAAAGTTGAGGCACTGCAACAACTGGCGATAACGATCCAAGCTCATTTTCATGCCGAAGCCGGCAAAACCATAGTACTTGTTGCTGCTCCAGTAGTCTTCCAGGTGTTCCAGCTTCACGTCGCTCAAGAGGAGCGAGAGGCCGACAAAGGTTTCCATCTCCTCGGCATTGGTGGAGAGCAATCCTCCTTTGAGGTTGCAACCCTTTGCCAGCAAGCCGAAGAACTTTGAGCGGTAGCCCAGCAGTTGGTTGAAGAAGTGCAGCGGGCACTTGTCGCTCTTAAGGCCCGTCTGAGGCGATGGCATGTGGAACTTGAACAGCAATCTGCTGCCCGCCTGTTGGCTGCTCCACTCCGGGTCATAGTCGTCTGGTTCGTCTGCGTTTCGGGGTAGAGTTACATAAGCAAGGGAGGAGTTGTGGGCGGGGGCACCATCTTACCCTGGCAGAAGACATCGGCCGCGTGGTAGTTCGTCTCCGAATAGCCGTCCTCGTCCGAATCGCTCTCCTGCTGCTCCAACTCCGAGTGGCTGGGGGCCCTACTGACGACCCGCTGCTCGGCCGCCAGCTGGAGTTGCAGTTCCGTGAGGTCTGGCTTGATGTCGGCCGTACTCAGGTCGTAGTCCGCCAGCGCCGGATAGCGGTCCAGGCCCTCCGTCTTGATGTCCGTGCGATCCCGCTTCACCGGCGACCGGTGCTCGTCCAGGCGCGGCTTCAGCTGCTGCTTGCGCTTCCTACCGGAGCTGGACATTCTGATTCTCGCCTCGTCTTGAAAATTTAAACAAATAGTGGAAAATTCTGCAGTGGCAGCAGCAGCAACGCGTGTTTTTCGGCCTATGCTCTCGCTCTCTCTCGCTCCAAGAACGAGGGCTGTAGTGTGTGCTCTTTCGCACCGCCGCAATTTGTGCGTTGCGCGCGCTATGGTCGGCGTTGCCACCTAGGTTGAATGTTAAGTGCCTTAAGTTGGTGGGAATTTCAAAATGCTAATTCAGCATTTTCCAATATTGAACTGAAATTACCCTTATATTTTCCCTTTATGATTTCCAGGTGGTCAGTGGTACGGCGTGGACATCACCAAGGAGGACATCTCGGACAACTACGAACAGTGCGTGTGGGAGCCCTCGATTATCAAGATCAACGCATTGACGGCGGCTGCCGAGGCTGCTTGCATGGTGCTCTCGGTGGACGAGACAATAAAGAGCCCCAAGGCCGGAGAGGCTCCGATGGCGGGCGGCGGCATGGGCATGGGTCGCGGCATGGGCAGGCCCATGTAGAACAATAGAACTCATCCAGAAATCCAGAAAGCACTTCAAAACTAATCATCAAAACTCACATTTCTCTCCTAATTTAACACGTACACGTATTACTCGGTCATATTCTCGCATTTTCGAGTGGCGCTTTTCAGAACAACAACACCAGAAATAATCCACTGACCTATCTGTATATGTTTATTAATAAACACAATGAAAACTCATATTTTCATAACAAATCTAATGCGTTTTAATAAGGCTAAAACAAATTAAAAGCTTTTATAGAGAATGTTAAATATATAATATATGACCATCAAAAATTAAGTAATCTAATTGTTTTGGGAAATGAAATTAATCAGTTTTAATATTTATTAATTACGTAAATCAATACAAATTGCATATTCGTTTAGTATTTGGAAAGTTCAAACGATGTGCTTATTCCTAATTTTAAATATATTTTTTAAATTTCCATTTAAATACAGTTTACAGTAATTTATTTAAATCGAAATCAGGTGGCAACGCTCCTGTTAGTTTGGTTGTTGTCTGTCAGTGTTGGCAAGACCTGACCACCCGTACAAGCTAGATTTGAGCCAAAATAAACTTCAATAAGGTAATTATGAAAAAGAAAGTTCTGAAAAACCAACTACAAGCGAAAAAGTATACATTTTTATTTTCTACATTAATTTAAGCTAAAACTAGGCTCCAAAAACATCACAATTGGAAATCTTTCAAATCCAGTGGGAAAACAGCTAAATTGGCAACGCTGTGTCCGTCGCGTAAACAAACAAACTAAAAGTAAATATGGGAAACCACAAGGTTCTTCGATCGGCGGGCAATAACTTGCGTTATTCCATGTACGAGTTCATTGAGGCGGTGCACAATCGCTCAATTATATGGGAAAGGCGCCATCCGAACTTTCACAATCGGGAATTGAGGGATCAGGCCTGGCAACAGATTGGCCAGGAATTGTGCAAGAATTTTGAGACATCCAGCGAACCGGAGAAGCAGGAAATTGGTAAGTGCTTCCTTTTATATCAATCTCTTCGTTACATAAACTATATCTCCATCCCAATTCCAGTGAAAACCCTGCTTAAACGGTGGAAAAACACGCGGGACAGCTACTTGCGGGTGCACCGGCTCCGTCAAACGGGCGAGGAGGTGGCCAGAGCCTCGTACATCTACGAAAAAGAACTCAGCTTCCTGCTGGATGTAAAAACCGAATCGGATGACGATGAGGAACCTCCCCTGAAGAAGGAAACCAAGCCTGCAGTCAAACGAAAACGCCTTCCTGCCGTCCAGAGAACTCCAAGGAAGCGAAGAAGCTCAGCCCATGAATCGGATCTGGAAACCGCTGACAATGACCCATCCATTCAGGATCATCTGCATTTCGTCCTGGAAGACCTGAACTACACCAGGGAAGATCCGGCGCCAGCGGAAAAAGCTCCCGTCCCTCCGATTTCGAGGGATCCAAATTGTACAAATGCAACAAATTCTTCCACATCTTCATCCGCTGATCCAGATCAAGCCTTCTTCGACAGCATTAAGCCGCACATGCAAAGAATGTGCCCGGATCGGAAGCTCGATTTTCAGATCGAGGTTCTAAAGATACTTCGTAATTTTAAGCCAAATTAAATAATAACGTAAGTTTTAAAATGCTTGTTTTAAGTTTGGCTTAAAAATAACAGTCAGAGGTGCCAATTTAGCTATTTTTACACTAGATCTAGCCAAATTGTGCTGTTTTCGGAGCGAATCTGGCAACACTTGTAACAGTGGCTTAACAGAGGAACGAAAGCTGTTAACAGAGCAAGCTATCGTTATCGGTTATCGGATTTGGGCATATTGCGCGGAATTTGAAAGATGGGATTTAAGTATTTGTTTAAAATATTTAACATATTTCAATAATTGGGACGATATTTTTAATAACCGATCTTACATTTAAGTTATAAAAAAAATATAAACCATAAAATACAAATCGTGAATCGTCATGATAATAATAATTTCTCTTCTTTTAAATTTAACTTTTATTCATAAAACAATTTTATGAATCATTTATGAAAGCTTTAAATTACAAATTATTTATTTATTAAATGGCTCCCACCTTTATTAGCATAATAATTATTTTAAATATTTCTTGGACAAGATTACCCTGTAAAAAAGCCAATAAGAAATCAGAAATGAATATAACATTACACTTTAGAGTCGCAGGCTTACCCTTTAATAATAATACTATATACATAATATATAATAATTATAAATATAAAAATTTAAATATTTATATATATATATATATAATTGTAATACTAATAATTATATACCTTCTCCCACTTTCCCTTTCCCTACCACCGAGTAATCCCCTGCCTGCCCCGAATCGGGGCTCAATATGTGCCTAGTAGTATTTATCGCCTGCTGTGATATTTTGTTGCTGGAAACATAAACTGTCAAAAAGATACATAAGCCATCGGTCCGAAGCGGCTCGACCAGTTTCGGTTGATAAAAAAAAGAGCTTAAACCTGTATTCGTATTGCTTGTCTCTCTTATGCCAATCGAGTTTCCATTATGTATACAGATTTCTTCATGGTTTTTGCTCAACACAAAGGCAAAATTATGGTCGGTACGAGTGTATTTATAAGTCGCGTCGCCACTTCAGACGGCACCCCTAAAAAAGAAATCGGCGAAGACCGTTAAGGAAGCCGTAAGGGTAACTCAAACTCACAGATTTCGATTCGGTGTCGCCTTACATGAGCTCCACGCTGTCCGGAGTTCCCGGAGAACCTCTACAGGGGGTTCCATATTGAACCCGCCCCCATACCCCACTCCACACAACAAATGGTACTCGTATCGTGTTAATGGCTGTATGTTTCCCTGGCCGTTCCCCCGACCACTTTCCCACTTAACTGCATATGGCTGGGACGTTGTGCGAGTGTGTTTAGTGGTAGTGGTTGTTGTTTCGGGTTTCAGGAATTTCGGGTCTGCGATCGGGACCCTACCCTCCATGCTCGCTCGCTCACCGATTAGCAACGGCCCCGGCAGATGTTATTCGGTATTAAATGCTCCCTTAGATCCTCGATCCTGACTACCTGCATCCGCTCAATGGATGTGCCTAGCTGTGTGCACTCAAAAAATAAAGGTTTGAGATCGAATTTGGATAGTTTAAGGTTTTAGGTTTTGTGGAAACCGTTTTCAATCTAAATAATTTAGATGTTGTAACCGTTTTCTTCAATTAACAAAATATATTTTAAGGGTTTTTAGGTTCAAATTAAATACAAAGCTACAAAAAACTACCTTAGTTTTCCTGAGTGTACAAAGGCATTCCCAGCGTGTGTAACGTATTTTCCATCCTTAGAAAACTCTGGAACCAAGGGAGATTTAGGTCAACCCCTGAGTTCCTTCCCCCGCTCTCCTGTCTTCCCTTTGAGGGTACCTGTAGCAATCCTGGGCATTACAGTGGAACCGAATAATAGACAGGAAGTCCCTTTGATGACTTTTATTCCTTTCAAGGGCCGTTCCGCCCTGGTAGATGATGGTGCAGCGATTGCCTTGCCCGATGATGAAGGCCTTTGTCCTTTCCCTGCCCTAAAAATCTATTCTTAACAAAGTATCTCTAAATCTATGTACATATATCCACCCTGCTCAGGTTGAGTTATCCACGAGGACCACCTGCGTGCTTCGATATCGCTGCCAGGCGCTCTCCGCCCGCTCCAGGAGCTCCCCAAGCTCCTGTCGTTGCTTGAGAATATCGTACTTCTCGAGGGTTAACTTTAGGAGAACGTACTCCAGGCTGCGGGTTCCACCCGCTGCAGAAGGTTCGCTTAAGCTATCCACCAGGGTCACAAACTTCCTTAGCAGCTCCACCAGCTGGCCAAAACTGGTCAGATGCTCGAGATTGGCGTCCACTTCGTTGACATAGCGCAGGCTCTGCTTAACCCTCCTCGCCAGATCGTTGCTCCTGCCTGTCAGAGGCGAGAGCTCCGCGTTGAGTTGCTGCACCGAGCGCCGGGTATCGATCACCTTCTGCAGGGTGACCACATTGAACTGCTCCTGATCCGTCCACTGAGCCATGGGAGACTTCGTAGTCACTTCATTGTCCACCATGGATACCTTATTGTCTTCCACAATGATGGTCTTGTTAATGGTTTCAGTCGAGTTGGCCGGCTGCTTCACATGGAAATCCAACGAGAAGTGGAAGCGAACATTGCCCTGCAAGGATCAGAGATGGGGTTGGTCAGAATTGAAAACGATGTTTATCCTTAAAGACATGCCTGGGCAAAAGCAAAGACTCCTAGAACGATCCAAACACTTAAAGACAGCGACATGTTGCCGGGGAACTGGAAAATGTTTGACTGATTCCAAGCCGAGATCTGGTGATCACACCACTGAATCCAATCCACGATCGAATCCCGAGGCTTATCTAACCGCGAGGTTATCACCGCCGTGTACTCACTTGACCGATAACAGATCCATTCAATGAGTATTCTGAATATAGCCGGGGGATCTGGCGACGCGGGGAGAATTTTCCACAGCCAGACAAAGCGCAAGTCACGTGGTCGCTGCGATGATGAAAATTGTATACAGTGAGCGATCGTAAAATATAAATTATTTCAAGGTGCTGGAAATAGGGGCAATTATTTAACATTTTAAAGTGTTTGTCAGTTGAGTTTCGAATAAAACAATCTTAAATGAAGGTTAAGATATATGTACAAGTGTTTAAGAGATTCAATTGTAATATTTTTCTACATGGACTGTTATTTATTCTTCAGTTATACATCTTAAATATATTATTTTGTTGCTAAAAATCATTTATACAATAAATATATTAATATTAGAAGATACTAAATCATTCTATTATACTGGAGGTCTTCACACGTGGGCCTATTCGTATATGTACATGTACATATATATATTCTGTTCAGTTAAATCTGTTAATATTTATTTTGTTGTGTCTAATTAATAAAACAACTAATAAAGTTTATATTTCTACAACTTAACTTTTGAATAATAGAATGACTAATCCAAATGAAAGGTGATAAAAACGTGACAGGGTAAAATACAAGAGGGCAGACTAAAAGATAGATAATACTACATAAGATATACATATATACAAATTTTGCTAGAACAAATACGTACAAATCTGTTGAATATTTCCACGTGGGAATATCTAGCAAATACATTAAATATACACTTCTTTTAAATATACGCATTCCCTATTAATAAAACCCTAGGTTACTGCAAATAAGAACGCTCACCTTTTCGGCTTGTTAAATTTTTATAAATTGTTAAATTTAAATTGTTTAAAGTTAATAAATGTGATATAAAAGTTTCGTTTTGCTTCTGGGGGGAGCACCAGCATAACCCGCATGGTTATTTTGAATCCGTGAATCATCCACCTTTTTTTGTTTTGTTATTTCCCAAAGCCATTTCCGTTACGAATTTCAACGAAATTTTTCGCCTCGCCCAAGGGTTAACATCTGCTCGGTTGCTCCTCTTATCAAGAAGTACTTTGAGGTAACAACAACCATTTCATATCGCTATTTTCTGTTTACGCGTGCAATAATAATTATACTGTACACAGAGCCACTATAGCGATAAGGTGCGAATGCTATCGCCGTCTGTATATACTATATATGTACATATACATATACTATATATTTGTTTGTGCGAAAGTATGCCTTAATTTAGAAAATGGTATCAAAGCAAAGCAGGGCAGTTCATGGAAGCCACGCCGATAGGGGCAGGCTAAAGAAAAGCATAAAACAAATATGTGCGAATCAATAGTAGAAATTGCGCAGCAAAATGAAATTATTCCATAGCCTGAAAAATAACAAAAAACAAAACAAAAAAGAAGAGGAAAATAAAATAAAATAACCGTTGACACAACACAACGAATACACTCGCATGATGATTGCCTTTCATACATATTCAAATATGTGAGCACAGAAAGAAAAATGTATCTTAAGGATAATCTATTGGCTTTTACTTTAAGGAATTATATAGAAGCAAGCTAAGGAACTTGGTATTAGTTTTAAGATATTAGTAAATCTTCACTTTTGTATATACAAAATATGAGTAAAGAACTCCCAAAATTAGGTAATTCAACGTAATATTACATATTCTCTCCAAAGAGCCTAACCTTTTTAGGAATTATATTTTTCTGTGTGTATTTCAACTTATTTTTATATTTTCTTTAGCATTTGCGTACTTTGCACGCATATGCACAGTTGGATGTACAAAAATACAAAAAAATCAGGGAGGGACTGGGGGGCCAAGAGTGGGGTATGGAGAATGGAGGGAGATAAGAGGCCAAGGGGTCGTCATCGTCGTCAGAGACCAACGCACAAGACTTGTAAATATGAACGGCATCCGTCGTCTCTCTCCTCTCGGGCCAACACAGCGAGTATCTCTGTGCCACTCCGCGCACTCGGATGTGTGTGAGTGAGCGCGTGTGGCGGCAATGTGAGTGTGTGTATCTTACAGATACCAATTGCGTAGATACATCTACCCAGGCCCAGTTCGAGACCAGTGCACGCACACTTTTTGCCTCTGCCTTGTCTCAGTTTGATACCCCTTACATATAACCTGTCTGGGAGGGGAAAGCATGATGGGTTTTTAGGTAAAAATAAATAGAAAATTGGGTGGGTAAAGTTAAAAAACACAAGCTAGTTGTAATATGTTGTTAATATAGAACAAATTTAAATATTACTTATATTTTAAAAAGGACGGATATATTTTTGTTGAAAGGTTTAATGTCTTTACTTATTTTAATTATTCAACTTATTTTTATGAATTCGGTGAATCATGTTTATTTAAATTTTAAATATACCTAAAATTAAACATTAATTACTTTGAAATACAAAAATAACCCAAGAAAATGTGTTCTTCAGATACTTGGACAGTTTTTTAAAGAACAATGCCTATGAAAATAATTATTGCAAAAGTAAAGATACTTTTTCTTCTCAGAACTTTGGTTATTTTTTCTATATTCAGATTCATTCCTAGAACCAAACAAAAACCTATGGAGGTGTTTTACCTGAAATTCAATATGCAAACTTCTGCGGGAAAAATGATCTTAAAGTGTTGAATTCAAGGTAGAGTATTGAACTAATATCATGGAAATAGTTGTACAGATCAGAGATCTTGAATTATTTATTTAACAAGAAATAAATGAATACATTCAATTCAGCAAGAGTTAAATGAAGGGTATATTCTTTTCTATAAAGTCACGTTTCTCATGATTTATAGTTGTTTTTGCGTAAACTTTCAGTATTTGTTTTTTAGCGTTTGTGATGATTTTTGCTTTTTTTTTCAAAAAACAACAATGGAAACTCTCGCAACCGCAAATCTAAGCGGACGTGAGAGCGAGAGGCCAGATATATATATATATATAGCCTCCATACCGCTGGGACCCCGTGAAATCCACTATCGTCGTCGCCATTTATCGTTTGCAATTAGCTCGAGCAGAGCGTTATAAAAATAAAAGAGTAGCAGCAGAAAGCAAAATAAAAACAAAATTGTTTACGCTTTTGATTTGCCTCAGCTTTGAGTATGTGGATGAAAATACGTTCATATATGTATATATATATGTACATATTTTATATATATGTATGTATGTATGTCTGTTGGGGGTGGCCTGAAATCGTTAAAAACGTAACGTGGAAAAATTAAAGACTGCGGGCCTCAGCATTTAATGAAATCAACGGTAGGGGAGGAATGGAAAGAAAAACGCTTTCAATGTACAAATATGGACAACCCATACAGTTATTCTCTTGTATTCTTTGGTCTCTTTTTTGAACGATCGAAGATAGGTTCGTGCATAATATGTACATATAACATACATATATAGTAATGTATGTACATATGTATGTACTCAAGAGGTAGCCAAGCGGTAAACAACGACACCGAATTCAAAACCGAAGCCCATTGCCAACTTTGTGTGTTGTCGGTATATCCAGTTTTCTTTTGCGACATCGTTTATAAAGAAATCCCAAAGAGTCGAGTTAAAAAATAAAGAAAAAACTGAGAATACAGAGAAAAGAAATGGGTTCGATCGGTTTATGATCACTCTAAAAGAGATATTATTTCAACTTGTCTTGCACAGAAAATAAATGAAACAAAATTATTAAATTTGACAATAGATTACTATTCCAAAAATATATATTTAAAACCTTATTTCTTTTGATTACTTCGTTTTACCTTGTAAAATATATTTTCTCTGTGTGTAACGGGAGGTGCGAGGCGAGGTGTTTCGAGGCACGTTCACCACTCGCTTGGTCGTTTGGCGTTCGAGCAACCTCTAGAGAAATCCACCTAGATAATACTAGTTTACTCTGCCCAGTGAGTCATATTCGTGTTTTGCCCACTTACCTCTGAACTAAACTGATCCAGACCGCTCTCTCCCTGTCTCGGCAACGTCCTTCTTTTGGGATCCAGCCTCTTTGGGGGGTTCCATTTGCAATACAATCGAAACTTCACCAGCTCAACCTTAACTCATATTCAGTTTCCCAATAGCCAAGTCTTATTTTCTTAAAATATGTATTAAGGTTTGTCTTTGATGGAAGATTGGGGTTTTTATATTAGTCATAACAACTAAAAACTTCATAGGTTTGTGAATCAGCAGTAGAAAAGTTAACGATTTAAATATAAATAAGTTAAAAACAATTTGTATGGATTCTTTTAATTAAAGAAAATCAAAAATAACCCGAATAAAATTTAAAAATAAATGTTATTGTTCGTTAAAAATAATAAGGGTTTGCCTTGGCACATTTATTCGTTATCAAAAATGTATAATTATAAATAAAACCACATGAAGAACAACAACTTTGGTTTTTAAAAAATTCTATAGGCCACAAAAATGAATTTCCCATATGAATCATTACAATAAAACGTAGACTTGGCTATATAAGATACAAAAGTTTGAGCTGGACAGTTTCGACTGCATGTGGATCCTCTCCCGTAGCGATTTCATTGAAAATATCTCAATCTCTTTGTTCATGTTTTAGGGGACTTGGGGGGGGAAGTGGATGGGGATGGGAGGGTATCGGTATCGGTATAGGGATCTGGGGATTTTGCTGAGGTGATTTTTGGAAGGGGATTTACACATTTGATTGTTTGATCGTTGTTTTAGGCATTTGTTGGGTTTTGCTTAAGTTCTAACTTGACTTGGATGTTTGCTGAGCTCTCTCTTGTCACTATATTATTATACATTTATGTATCTTTATTATGTGTTGTGGTGTTGTAGTAAAACCATTAAACATTTATCGTTATCATGCTGATTGCGTGTAAGAATCTATAAAATGCTAAACTGTTGCATTGTATACAAATTTGCGAAACTCACAGTGACAATTCGCACTTATCGCTTAGGTGAATGTGTGTTTTGGGTGTTTTGCATTTGCCAAGCCTTGCCTTGCATTGCCGTTACTTGATCCGATTACGACTACACAAATATATACGAGACATCTAGGCATAACTAACGTAGGAACAATCAGGATAGTTATTCACATTGAAACGGAATTGGAATTGTTTTGTTTCTGGCCTGGACCGCAAGGGTGTTTTGCTCGTCGGCTCTGCAAAGTTTTCTTGTCGTTTTTTTTGTTGTATTTTTTAATTTGAGTGTCGTCGTTATGCATGTATCTGGGTTTGTTTTAGCTGCACAAATGCAGCTGCCTTTGTTTGGATCTTGTTTTGAATATTTCTCTGAGTCCGAGTCCGAGAGACTTGAATCTGGTTGTTTCTGTTTTTGTTTCCATTTCTCGCTTACAATTCGAGCCGCAAATCAAAGCCTGAAACATGTGAGAACTTCGCTAGTGTTCGCTTCCTCTGGAATGTGGTGGGGATTTGCCGATTAGCTCTGAAAATAAAATCGCCAACGAAAAAGTGTACGTGATAAGGCAAATAAAAACACAAATTTTGGTTGTTCTTTTTTTTTTAATTATACAAAGCTTTAATAAATTACTTTACGAAAGCCATGTACAATTGTTTATTTTGTTTTTTTTTCTTCTATTGTTTTGTTGATGGTTGGTTGGTTTTGTGGGGTTTCTTTAGTTGTTTTTCTCAAATGTTACAAGTTGACTTGGACTTAACACAATTCAAATATTGCTTTACAAATTGTTTTCAGTTTTTATTCACAATCGTTTCTATTAATTACAGTATTGAATAGCGAGTTTGCTTCTCTTCATATTCATCTTAGTGGTCCATTTATGGTAATTGTGTGGGTAGTAATTTATCATTTTCTCTTCAGTTGTATTTGTTTTTAATTTGTATATATACCAGGTTTAAAAATATAGCAAAGTATCACAAAAAATTGCAAATTAAATTGTAAATTAGATCAATGGAGAAATTAAAAAAAAATACATAGTGCTTGGTTTCTTCTTTTCCTTTTTCATTTTAGAACGACGAATCATTTTTCGGCTTACAACAAAAGGGTTAAAAATAATATTCGAACTTGGTCGAATCGTCGTCGTTACGCTTTAAGTTTAAATGTAAATTAAAATTGAATTTGAATTCTCTTTCAGGGGCCAGACAATCCGCAGTTGCCTTGGATGGGGGCACAAGCGCCTTGGACTCGCATGGAGAGCCTCGCTGATGATGTTGGTGCGGGCTCCATAACTTTGAAATGGAAATTAATTTGTACTGATTGGTGTTGAAAAAGTCGGCGGATCGCAACGATTGTGCCCACAGTCCAAGGCAGAGCAGACGGATTTTGGCCCTGTTTTGGTCTCTTTTTTAATATTCCTTTTTCTTCTTTTACTTTTGCTTTTACAAATAGGGGGCTGTTGGTTTCTCCTTCAAAGAAATCTAAGCTGTTCTCTTCTCTCCGCTTAAATTGACGTCCAGTAAGTAACAAACGTTAGGCTTACACTTAAAAAAAATGCAAAATTCTGCGCGACAAGTTTAAATTGTTTGTGGGGGGGGGTGGGGTGTCGGGGATGAGGCTAAGCTGGGGTCACGTCCGAGCACTGCTCGAGCGACCTTCGCTCCGTTCAATACTCTAAGTAGTAGTGGGGATTTATATATGTATGTATGTGTGTATGGGGGGGCGGGGGTACTTGTAGTGTAACTTGAAGATACAAGCTTTAAAGCTACCAATATATGACAACTTGCTCAGTTAACCTAAACAGTGCTTGACTTTTTTGGCTTTTCAACATTTTTAAAACTATCATCGAGTGTTTTGTTGTAGTTTCCTTCTCTTCATCTTTTTATCTCTCCCTCTCTGTCTCTTCTATTCTCTTCTCTTCGCTCTCCATTCTTTTCATAATTTAGCTGTTTCGGGAAGTTAAACAATATGCATAAACACAACTCAAGTGTTCTTCTTTCTGGGGCTTTCCACTATCAATTAGGTTTTGGGGTTGCTTTTTGTTTTTGGCTTATCACTTAGGGGCCAATTCACTTGGCAAAAACACATAACAAAACTCACGCTGCCTCATTCTACGCAAAATACAAATAACTTTGGATTTGGACGTTTGGGATTTGGGGTCTTGGGAAGGGTAAAGGGGGGTGGGTGTGTGGTATCTTAAATAATTTACATACATATTAATGTTAACAATTAATAAGTAATGCTAATAATGAAAATAAGGTACTGGGTTCAAGTGTTTCAGTATTGAGCATCAACGAATAGTTTACATAAAGTAGTATCATTTCTCCCATCCTCTTCTCTCGCGACATCTATCTCTCTTACTCTCTTGTAAAGCCTTCGCTTTGGGATTGCAACTTATATAGTTTTTGTTTGTTTTTTTTTAGTTGTTTTCACAATTGTTTACGCTGTTGTTTAGCGCAAGATCAAACATATTTTGGAATAAATAAAATCTTGCTTGCGCCGGCCGATCGCTTGCTACTACGCATTTTGGTTGCATTTACAGTGTGTTGATCGATCTTATTCTCGTATTTGTCGATTTATCGATTTATCGATTTTAGAAAAATTTTATTTGAACATTTAAGCGTTGTTCCTTTCTATGTACAATTCAAGAATGTTTAAATTAGAATTTTTTAAAGCCATTTCGCAATTACAGATTAAGAATAATTACACATGTACGCATATGTAGCTCAATTATTGTTTTTGGGCAATTGCTTTTCTCTCGCGCGACGTTTAACTAAAAGTAATGGAAGTATCTATAAGGTAAGTCAAAAATTACAATACAATAGTGAATCTTTATCTTAAGGTAGAGGAGAGGCCGTACAATAGTTGTTTTAGAGTTATAGATGAACGTTTCTTTTAGGCAAGTTGAATGCATTTTGCGCTGCTGCTCTGCTGCTGCGGCCGCGTTGAGTTGTTGTCGTTGAGTTTTTGTTTGAATTAGTCTTTGTGATTTGGTGGGTATACGATTTATATTAGTTGTATTATTATTATTATTATTTGTATTTTAGTTATAGGTATTATCGTGTCTCTTGAATATACTCTGTGCTCTCTGCTTCTTTCTTTCTTTCTTTATCAACATTTAAGGTACGTTGCACATTTTGTCCGCTTTTCGGGGGATAAACATAAACTGTACTTTATGTTGCGCTTCTAGCGTCCATTTTTCTTTTTTGAATTACTCATAAATATTATTATATTTATAATTTTACTTATTAATTAATTTTCAAGTCTATTTGCGTATCACGTTTAAAACAATGTTCAGTTGTGAAGTATCCGTTGTTAGACATATAAAGTTCTTCCTTCCTTCCGCCTCCGCTTCATCATCGTCCTCTTGTATTATCTTCTTCTCTCTGTTAGCCATTTGTTGTTGATTCGGTTTTACTTTGTCGATTGGCGGCTTCTTTTCCATAAAGTTTGCATATTGAAGTTGACAGTGGGGGAGAGGGTTCTCTATATAGGGGGTACTGCTGCTATAAAGCGGGGAATTTTGCATCTTTTTCGCTGTGTTTATTTGTTCTCTTTGTCGTTGTTGTTGTTGTTTTATCGGTTGTGTGAGGACAGTTGTTTGTGTATTTCCATTTTTTGTTTACTTTCAGCTTTCCTTGAAACAGTTTTTCACTTTTCTCCTTATAGCTTCTCAAATCGGTTTTATTGTTTTATGATACACACTTGAGATCACAAACATTACTCTTGTTTTTGTTTTTTTCTTTTTTTTGTTTTGCTTTGTTTAAAAAAGTTAAATTTTTCAGTTGAAATATTTTCGTTTTCGATTTTTTTTTAGTTTTTCATTTTGCATTTTTTCTTTTATAATTTTTGTTCATTTTTTTTTTGTATTTTTTATATTCATTTCGGTTTTCTTTTTTTTGCAACTCATTGACGGGTTCGGGGTCCTCCGGGTGTTGATGCCATTCAAGTCGGTCCTCCAGATCCAGATCCAGCTTCAGATCCAGATCCTGCTTTTCTGCTCCAGATCCTGATCCTCCAGCACCAGGGTTACGACTGCACATTGAGCAGCAGCTTCAGGTTGTGCGTGTCGAAGTCGTCAAGGAGATTCCGCTTCGAGCGGCCACCTGTCTGCATCATCTGGAACTTTGGCAGCGACATCGACATCGACACCGACGACAGCTTCTCCTCCGACCGCGTCCAGTGCTGCGGTGGCTTGGGCAGCGCCGTTGGAGCAGGTGCATCGAAGCACTTGCTGCCCGCGAAATGCGTCAGTGCGGTGGGTATGAGTGGGTGCTGCTGCATTTGCATCTGCTGTGGCGAGATCTTGCCACCCAGCGGCGGGCTCTTCCTCTGCTTGCGAGCCGATCCTCCTGCTGGCGAGAAGCCTCCACCCAGGATGGTGGCGGGGGACTGACGCACTTGCATTGCTCCCTGGGGCGAACGTCCTCCACCGGTCCGCCTATTGTTGTTGTTGGCGAAAAAGAAGCCACCCCCTCCTCCGCCGACGGATCCCTGCTGCTGCGGCGAGTGACGCTGCTGCTGTCTGCGTTGGGCTCCGGTGGACTGTGACTGCGATTGCAGTGGCCGTTGCCTCTGGTTGGGCGGCGTGGCCAGGTTGGAGAGACCCAGGCTCGTGGGCGAGGAGCTCAGGAAGTGGGGGGAGTTGTTCTGGGTGAGATTTGTACTGCTGGCAATACTGTTGGAATGTGCAGTTACCAAGGGCGTTGCTGGTGCGGATGCGGATACGGGAAGGGGTGCGACGGACGTCGATACGGATGTCGGGGATGTGGGCGAGGGGGTGGATGAATTGGATGCGGAGGTCGCTGCTCCTGCAGCTCCCTTTTTCAATCGTATGGACTTGGTGGCCGATGCGGTTGTCATTCTGATGTTGTTCCTAACGCTATTGTGCGAGTATGTCATAGTAATTTCGTCGCTTGCCGATCTCTCTTTCTTTCTGGATCACTGATCACTCTCGTCTCCTCCTCTATCTATTAAAATTTCTGCTGTTTTGCCTTTTTTTGTTTTTGGTTATTTCGCTAAATTAATGCTTAACGTTAAATATCACACGCACTTAAATCAATTCTTTATAAATCGAAACCAAACTCGATCGCTCTGCTATTGTTGTTGTTGATTAGCTTCCACCGCTCTCCGTGCTTTTCTTTGGTTCTAATCGCTGATGCTGATGCTCCTCCTCCAAAAATTCAAAAATTAAATGAAATCGGCGAGCAAAAGGGCGACGACGGGCGGTTGAGCACGTAGCTGCGTCCACTGCTGCTTCTGCGGCGTCCGGTTGGCGTCGTTACTTCTTCTCTGCTTCTTATGTACAGCTGCTGTTTACTTTACTTTATATAGTTTAACTTGTAACGTTATGTATTGTTTATCAGTCTGTTGATTTATCTCTTTTACTCTGGGTTAAGCGCTATCCTTAGCTATAATTTCGCAAACTCTTCTCGGTTCTCTGCTGATACTGCATTCCAAGACGTGCTGATCCTATTTTTGTTTTATGAAAAATAAAAAGAAATCGAAGAATACTATTGAGCAAAGGATGGTAGGCATTTTTTTGTTTAATAAAATAAAAGGGGTATAAAAATCACCATAATCTGGGTCTCAAAAGTTGTTATCTGACAAAGAAAATACAATTTTGAATAAATAAATACCTGATAATTTGGATTACATGTAATATGTTAATGTAAAATACTGATAGATCTAATTTTTTTGAAAATGTGAGCTGCGAAAAATTCCCTTTGATTTGCAAGTATTTAAAGAGTTTATAGAGAAGGTAAGTGTTTCTTAAATCTGTTTATAAATTACAGGTAAGGGGCAATACAAATTTTTATATGCAGCAGAAAAATACGTATATTGAACAATAAATAAGTATAGTTCAAGAGAAACATTATTATAATTACTTTATTGTAATAGAAACAAATATATATAGGAAACGGGGAAAAACATCCCCTAAACTCTTTGGGCAAGGCAAGAGACCGTTAGCTGTTCTATTGTCTTGACTGCTTCTGTATGTACACATATTATGCATAATAAGGAAAACGGGCTAGGGAAATGTTACATTGTAACTAGTCGATTTCCAGGTAGCAACAACCTGTAACGTAGTGCTAGCAACGTAACGGCTGCATTATCGTGCATACAATGTGTGTATGTGCCATTTACGTCAACAAAAGGTATTTTGTGTTCTGTTTTTTGTATTTGTTTGGCTATTCTCTCCAAACACGTCTGGGGACGTCAGAGGGACGCACACACAGGCGCACAGCGAGAATACCTGAATTAATGAATCGACACATACATACACAGCAGAGCGGGCAGCGATAACCAATACAATTGCGACTTACTTTTTCGCCGTAGACCTTCCCACACGAACGTGTGTGTGTGTGTGTCGCAGTATCGATTGCTGCAGCTGCGGGGTTTTCTCAGCCACTGATATAGCGTTATATACACAATTGGGTTGAGTTTGGTTAAAAGTTGCCTTGATTTTGTTGATTCACTTTAAAATGTTGCGGAAATTGGGTTTTGGTTGCGTTTCCACGGATTTAGATGGGGTTATATGGATGTGTATGTGTTCGTATTTGTGTTGTGTGTATATGTGTATTGTAAAATCACTTTCAAAATGGCGACGGGCTGGCTTCGTATTTATTTATATATAGATGTAATTCCGCTTAAAGCTTTCTCTTCACTTACGACAAAGGCTCAAAAAAATCACACTTTCAACTGATTCTGATTTCGATTTGTTAAACTCTATGTACACCACCGTCTATTGCGCAGCGTTTTCTGTTCCGTTGTTCGCTCGCCAAGTACTCCGTTTCTTTGTGTGCGAATGCCTCACTCGTTGTACTGACTCTGACGCGTATTAAAATGGTAAACGTACACAAATATCTGGTTATATCACTTAACTTAGGACATTTACAATATGCAATTACATGTATATATTTTTGTAGCAGAAATTTTAATCAATAACTTTATCTCCTTCGCTTATTCTTGTTCTTTGCGCATCGGTACGCTCTCCTCGAATTTTCCACCATGACTCAAAAAAATCGGGGCCCGCGCTGGGGTGGCAGCCCCGATGACGACTATCGATCACCGATGACAACTATCGATGTCGATTCATCGATCACTTCGACGATTTTTCCATTAACATAATATCTAGCGAGTAAGCGTTCATGCTAAAATGTCGAAATCAATTTTACACGCTTACAGAAGTTTGGGGTCGAATTCTCGTTTTTGGGGTCGAATTCTCGTTTTGGCGTCGAATTCCCGTGTAGAATGTAAAATGTTCGAGAGCGAGCAACAGAGCGTTAACAGAGACCCGAACGCTGCTTCGGCAGCGGCCGTCGGCTCGGTTCCAACCAATCGGTTGAACCGGGAGAGAAAAAATGTTCGTCGAACGTGTTCGAACTCAAATTGATGACAACAGTCGATGACAACTATCGATGACAACAATCGAATGAAACATCGATGACACTTTCCATAAAATGTAGCGAGTAAGCGTTCATGTTAAATCAATCTTACTCGCTTACAGAACAACAGTGTCAAATGTTAGTTTGGGGTCGAATTCCCGTGTAGAATGTAAAATGTTCGAGACGAGCAACAGAGCACGGCAGTGTTGCCAACTCTTCAGGGCTTGAAAAAGTTTTATTTTCAAAATGTTGCCAAAATTTATTTTTCAAAAATGTTCCCAATTTTTTTTCTATAAATCTGCCAACATTTATTTTCCAAGTTTTGTCAAATATTTGTTTGTTCAAAATTTTTTTCTTTTTAAATTAATTTTGTCAACTTTTTTTTTTTTCAAAACTGCCAGTTTTTTTTTTTATTTTGTCAACTTTTTTCAAAATTTCGTAGTAAAAATCGATTTAAAAATGTAATGCTCTTTTGGCATATAAAAAAATACTACGAAGTATTTAAGTGAGGCATCATAAAACATCATAATACATGAAAGATAATAATACAAAAAGCTAAAATTACGGCAATTTTGCTTGGAAAATAGCTATAATTCCCGATAGCCGCTAGTTCACAATATCCCGCATTTATTTGAAACACGCCAGATATAGTGGAAAAATAGCTAATAGAACCGTCGGCTCGGTTCCAACCAATCGGTTGAATCGAACGTGCTCGAACTCAAAATCGATGACAACATTCGATATCTTCGATGTCATCGATGTTTTAGCAAGCGTTCATGTTAAAATTTCGAAACACGCTTACAGAACAACAGTGTCAATTGTATGGGAATGTTAGTTTAGGGTCGAATTTCCGTGTAGAATGTAAAATGTAAGTAGGAACATCGATGTTTTTCCATTGAAATAAACATTATTGCATATAATAAATTGGTTTTAATAAAATTACAACAAAAAAAAGTTTGAAAGGACAAAAAACCTATATTTTAGATTTAAAATTTCCACAAAAACATTGATGTCCTCAAATATCGATGTTTTTCCATCTCTAGCCCGCGCTTCGTCCGTCTCGTTTGCGCACACGCAGTAGACGGCAGGGTTGCACTCGAGATACCGATGTTTGGCAGGCCACTATTGGTGTTCCGATTTTCATCCGATGATCAGCGGATTTCCAGAATAATAATAATAATAAGTAATCAAATTAAATAGAATTATTTATAAACAACTATTTGAGCGCTCCTTTAAAGTTATTAATGTATTCATTTATATTTTATAAGTATTTTTAACTGGCTGTTTCGTTCCACCAACAATATGGCAACCTTGGCGATAACTTTTTCTGGTGAACTTATCGACCTATCGCCAAAACACGGCAAAAATTTTGTTGTCAAATCTGATGTGGGGTCAGAAATATATTTTTTATAAAATAACTACCTGCCAGAATGATCTTATGGTGGTGTGGAATAATCATCAATAGACCAATGAGTAAACTATTTTTTTCCTTTTGTAAATAAGATCGGATTTCATATAAAAAAAGCCATTTACTTTTCATTCCGGCCAGAAAAAGGTGCCCGTTTTTCAAATCGAAAAAAATCGTTCGTTTTCGATTACCGGAGCACCAATTTCTCGTTTCAAAAACGAAAACGAGAAATTCTTGCCGTTTTCGATTACCGGAGCCGACCTGAATAATTTTAAAAATATTTTTTTACGAATCCAGTATAAATATTTCGCTCAATCTAAGCTTGGTGGCTTTGGGGTTGTACATTTATACCTACTCCTTTCTGTGTCGTTATAAAAATTTAAAATAAAATTTAAATATAAATTAGTTAGTAATAAACGGTATAAATAAGGTATCATTTGCAATTAAAAACCGTACTCTCGGAACCTACTACCTGATATCGAATGCCCCATACCTTTCAGAGAATTTATAGTTCCAGCTGCGCGGCAAATTTAAAAACAGATTTAAGACAGGTCATAAAACCACAGCTGGCTTTTGAAAAACAGATTTGGGATAAATCCGTTTGTTTTTCGGGTTTCATTTTGACAACAAATACAGGTATGGAAGCCGTAATCAAATTCTGAGAGAATACTGAACACATTTATAAATTAATTTAATATTAAAAAATAAAACATATTAAAGATTTTTAAATTGAATTTGAGCCTTTTTTTTAAGATTTTCTTTATTTAGTTAAGGAAACATTTTGACCTAATTTTTAACGAGTGATAGGTTTTCCTTCGCCTGAATTTTAAAATTCAGTATAAAATATAAAAATTCAGCGGCTTGACATGAATGGGACTAAAGTCTGTTCAAAATATTATGACACTACCGCATTAATTGCGTTTAGTTCCTCCGCCAAATCTTCACCTTGTAGCTTGGCTTTTTATGGTTTCAAATAAAGTAGCACGTACACTTTCACTAAAAAAGTCTATTTTCTCGTCCGTAAAAATAGTTTTCGACATATTGCTTGCTCTGAAACATAGTCTCTGAAACTATAGTCGGATTACAAAAAAATCTTCGCCAAATAACAAATATAGTTGTCTTATTCTAGGTTCTAAAATGACTAATGAATGAAAACTTAATTACTGTATCATAATAATCTATAATTAGTGTGGTAGTGCCATAATACCGTACTGTCTCATAAGGCCATAAAACGAAAATTTGAGCAATTCACCACTCTCTATCGATGTATCGCCTTTCTTAAAAAACAGCGATAGTATCGACGTCGCAGCCTCTAACCACCAAGTCGCCATTATCGATTTGTGGCAGGGAAAAAATATAGAATTAAAAAGTCGCGTTTCAGCGTTAGGCACCGGTTAGAGAGCGCATCAAACGCGGCGTTAAATTGTGTAGTGCTCGTGGCATAAGTGGCTATCGTGTACCGTTTGATTTGTCGTGGGGCTCGCGTATAAGAATTTCCTTGGAATTATTCTCAATCAATCAATACCCCTCTCTCTCGCTCGCTCGCTCCGCCCGTGTGCCTCTCTGTGCCAGCGTGTCTGTGTGTGTGTCCCCTGATTGTGTGTGTGTCTTGTCGGTGTGGTCCGCTCCTTGGGTGCATAATTAAATTAATCAAGTAAATAAAAGCCAGCGTGCGGGAGCAGGTACTGCAACAACAGCTTCATCATGACCATGGCAGGGCAAACGATCAACGACAGGCTGCTGGCTGCCCGTCACAGCCTTGCGGGCCAAGGACTCGCCAAGTCCGTTTGCAAGGCCACCACGGAGGAATGCATAGGCCCGAAGAAGAAGCACTTGGACTGTGAGTTTCCCTCCCTGCTCTCTCTCTTTCAGTCTCTCTCTCGTTGCGTAAAATCGCCGTTACATTTCCTAGTTACCACACGGGAAGAAATAATACACTGATTTGCAGCCCAATGTGATAAGAGATGTGTAACTTGACTGCGTGTCCCAGAGCCATTTGATTAAAAACACATCATTTACACCACAACACAGGCTCATATTCTATATCTACAGTCGCTTTCGAGAGTGCAAGTTGATTACTGATAATAGATATGCTTATGCTTATGACATTTTCTCTCAGTGCTCCCGCGATTACAACAGTTACTCGCTGCAAAAGTCAAACAAATCCCATTCAGTTACAACCAGTTTGCGTCTCCTTCCTCCAGCCACACCATCTTCACATATATTTTTGTTTTTGTGTGATAATCACAAAGTTTTCTGGAAACGAGCTCGCTGATTGCGGCCCACAGAGCTCTGTGAAAACACCACCCGCCGCCACCCCCAGTGCACCTGTGCCTCAGCTGCTGGTGTTTGTGGACTCCGTTCGTCATTGATTGCTATTCCCCTCTCTCGCAATCTCTCTAGCGCTCTCTTTCTAATGTTACGTCACTTTCCCACGGCTGCACGTGTAAGTGTGTGTAGTTGTGGTTGTAGGACATTTAAATGGCTTGAAACGCCTACGAAAGCCAAGAGTGTTGTTGCGGTGTCATTGTTTGTCAAATGTATGCACAAGCTTTCCCCCTAATTCGTTGGATTTTGCTTAAGCGGTTAGATTTCTAATGATACCCAATATCTTGATTATATTCCTGTTGGAATCTGGTTTTTTGAGTAGTTCTATGCGCGTGGTGACCTGGTTTCTGGCATGCTTTTTTGCGCTGGTTTTGCAAAACTTTTCTGAGATGACTCATCAGTTCAATGGGAATAAAAGAGGGCAACAAGAACAACAAACCCTATGGGGCTTACTTGCCACATAAACATTGTATTCCATTTGCCGCAAACCAGACTTGACAGCGAATTGGGAGTGTGTCAACGATTGGAAATAAATGAGTTTCAATTGTGGGCAACAGAGGCAGTCGTCGGAATATGTAAGATAAGTGTAGTTTACATACACATCTGATTGAATTCCAAAGAAGGAATGATTTTTCAATACACAAAAATGTATATTTCTTCTGAAAGTAGAATTTTATACCAGGGGTTTGATTAAAATATGAGCAAATACTTAATATGATTAGTAAAATGAACGTTAAACAATTACCCTTTACTGGTCTTAACTTTCCGATAATAAATAGATTCTAAGCACTGCTTAGATTAAACCTGATCTCGAGAATACATACATATGAACAATTTAAAGACCCACAACAGGTAGAATCTCCTAGCTTGAATGTGTTTGTCTTACCTCTTTCTCTATTTTCTTTGGT